AAAGATCCAGGCTGGGGCAGCTGGTGATTCTCTGAAACTTACATAAATTCTATAAGGAGGGTTTTACAGAAAGAGAGACCTAGACTCCTTAACTGATCTATAGACAGGGAGTCTGTCTGCCAGGCAATTAACAAATTCCTCAGTGTGGTTCAAAAGTTCACTAGGATCTTAAAACTTTTTATAAATAATTTTATCCATACTAGAATTTAATATATTTATTTAAGCATGTTTTGAATTAGTTAGTTTTAGATCCAAACTTATAGTTAGTATTTAGCATTAGATTTTGTTTCAGTAAAACACAAACACGTTCTAGTTCAATCACTGAGGCAGAAAACCAAAACAGGCATAAGTCGTAAATTTAGCCGAAGGAGGGTTTGCAGGAGACACCTGGTACGGCAAAGACCCAGTTTGACAATTCATATATCTGCCATTGGGGCTCTTTAGCAGAGGTAATAAAAGTAACATTAAGACAGCCCCATAAAGGAAAAACACACCTCTTAATGCATATATTTAAATTTAGAGAAAGGCACAGGCTTATAAAAGTTTTCGTTTGCAACAGAGAATTCGAATTGCTTTCTTTCAACTCGTGCAATTATTTCTGTTTTGTCACGTCTTGGACTTTTGATAATCTGGATGAGACTGCTTATTGTAACATTCCTTTGTGCATCCATTTTCTCTGGATAAAACTCTAGATATCTGAAGTCTGATGTCGTATGATTGCTCTTTCTCACTGCGCATATTGAGGCTCAAGAATCCGGGATCAGAGGAGAATTAACGAGCTAAATCAAGTTATTCCTCTTTTAATTCTTAACCAGACATATCTAGTAAATGAAATAAATCCACTTACTCTTCAATATTCTCTCCGTGTTGCCTTCAAAGTCTAGAACCCACTGATTTAAAGAGCATGTTGACAAAGTCACTTTACGGCCCATCTTTTTCTCCTTGTGCTCACAACCAACACGTCACAGGACAAATATAAACTGTGGTCTATGTTCACAACTTGTTCGTACTGTTCACAAAACTTTAATCAGTGAGTTGTTTGCTTCCCCGGTGCTGAGTAAACTGTCACTTCTGCAGGAAAGCAACACAGATCACTTCCTCGGCTGAAGTCTGTCAGTGTGATGCTGCACTCAACAGGATGGAGGACGTATTACAAGCCAGTAGCGTTATTGTTTGGTTGATTTTCTTTTCTCGTTCAATGGCGGTTGGCCGACAATGTTTTGGGGCATTGCTGAGACCTGGAATGGAGTGTGAATTGGGATACTAAATTGTTATATCAACTCTATTTACATACTAGAAGAAAAATTCTTAATATCTATTTTCTATGTATTTAGTCTTTCTAAGATTCTTCAGCAAAAAAGAAGACTAAACTATGTCCAGCTACATCGTGTCCTGTAGATTAACCAGATATCTTCTCTCAATAGCAGCAGGACAATAAAATATATTCCACTTTCTGGTGAAAAATTAATAAACTATGTTAAATTTTAACGTAGCATACCTTAAGTCACACTAATCATGAGTGTAATTCAAGTTCTCTTAAGATTAGTTAACTTAAAGTATGAAATTTTGGAACAACTTATGTAGTGCTTAGTGTACGTTAATAGTATTTAAATTGTATTAAAGCACAATTTAAGGTGTACTAAGTATACTTCAATGCACTGTTTTTTGAGAACTTAAGTTACACTTAGTATACTTTAAGTATATTGCTTTTAATGTAATATAAATGCTCTTGATTATGTACTATTATTGTACACTCAAAATTAGTATACAATACCTATACTGGTGGTAAGTATATTTAAAATATACTTAGAATGTATTTTAAGTATATTGGCATTACATATTTTATATATTAGTTGTGTGATTACAGCATGCTACAATTACACTTTTGGTTTATTATAATTGCTAATGAAGTAACTTTTTAGTTACTTAATGTCTTTTATTATTATTCTTTCCCACTTTGTACATTACACACTTCATACAACAGCTGTACTGCAAACATGTCAGGCTACCAGAATACAGAAGGATCAATTACAACACACTTTACAGGTGAAACTAATTACATTGTGCTTTCAATATATTACCATTTTGGTAAGACTTTATTTGATGGGGTGTGCATAACACTAACATAACACCTGTCATCCAACTTTTAAAGCAACTTCTCATGAAAAGTGTCATTATTTACCGAGTAAAACTTCATAACATCTGTTAATATTAGGTGTAGTGCCATGTTTAAGACAGTATCATGTCAGTGTGGAAAATAAAATATTCACAGTGTGTTTACTTTTATTAGAAGTTTATTCAGTGTTAATCACAATGTTTAATCAATTTATTTTCAGGCTTACAGAGTTGTTGTTTCTCTTTTGGCCTTCACAGTTTGCCTTAGTGAGCCAGAAGCTTAGCAACAGGCGATAAGCAAATAGTTTTCTACTTCACGGGGGACAGACCAGACTCGAAGACTGGCCGATTATTATTAGAGACATAAACTGCACCTAATAACAAACTACCTGAAACCTACTTTTAACTGAAGGTTGCATTTTTCTGTGTGTGTGTGTGATAATCTTATATGCTTCTCCACAGACTTCATGTCTGTGAATGAAGAACAGTATACAGTATATACAGTATATCTCCAGCATCAAATGAGAGGTGGAGTTCACCCTGGACAGGTCGTCAGTCCATCACAGGGCCCTGAAAGCCAACAATGAATGAAATGTATGAAAGAGAAATTGTAGATTACAAGGAGAATAAATTCTGTCCAATCATTTTTTAATTAAAAACAGCAAAAAGAAAAAACAAAAATACTCCCCAAAAAGGCCTTCAATCATGAAGACGATGTGGAGCTTCATCCTCTGAACTGCTTGGTGATCTAATGGAGCCAGAGCCTCTGCTGAGACAGGAAAGTCTTTAGGTTTTTTAATTTCTGATCCTAGCTTCCTCTTTCATCTTCATACACCCACATATATGTATGAAGACAGAAATGAAGGCTAATTCAAAAATAGGGGCTGTATTTATTTAAGTTATGTTTTTCTTTCCTTTCCTTTCCTTTTCTTTCTTTTTTCTTTTTTTTTTACTTTTTCTCAACTCACTATATATTACTACAGTAACACAATATTTAATGGATGTGATGCTGAGCATGTGCACTGAGCTTCTTTGGATAACCAACACAAGATCTGTTCTGAGTGGACCCAGCTAAAAATGTTGGATGATCTTTACCACTGTGCTGCAATCAGTTTCAGGGTGTTAGCAATCCTCCTGTAGCCTTGGCAATCTTCATGTAGCGCACAAATTTATCTTTTAAGATCCACAGAGAATTCTTTGACATGAGGTGCCATATTGGAACTTTCAGTGTCCAGTATGAGAGATTGTGACAGCTGTACTAAAAAACACATCTGCTCCCTATGCACACCTTTAGACTTAGAAATACTAACTAGTCATATGACATTTTGCAGGGAAAATGACTAGCAGCTGATTGTGACAAAAAAAACCCCCAAACAAACATAAAAAAACAGAATGCTGTGCAAAGTAACATGCCATTGTCCCCACAACCAGAACAAGTTAGGAACAATACAAATTTCCATGAAGAGGAACCAGAGGTGAGGCCCTAACACGCTCTGTGGAGTATAGGATGGTCGGATACAGACACGCCTATGAATACACTGTGTAGAAGTGCTAGAAAAACTGCTGGTAAAAACAAAAACCTTTTTAACTTGCCCAGATCTTCGTGAAATGCTGTGCACCTTACACCAGATGTATTATCTCAGGTTTTAGTGGGTACGGTCCTTTACACATCAAAGCTTAATGCTGTGGCATATATAATATATATATATATATATATATATATATATATATATATATATATTGTAGAGCCAATTGTTGTCACCACCAGAGGGCGTATTGTTTTGTTTTCTGAGTGTCTGAGGGGGATGGGTTATTTAAGGTCGATTGTAATGGTGTTCAGGTGTTGACCATTGGAAAGAGGACACAGTTTTTTACTGTGTTTGGTTTGACGGGTAGAAACGAACTTTATGTATGTAAATGGAAATTATAATAAAAGACTTTCATACTAAAGAAGAGCACTACTCTGAAACTTAATCTGAACGCACGTAAAAACGAACTACACCCAGAGGCAACCACTAGTAGCCCTAAAGTAAAGGATTTTGGACGCTACATATATATATATATATATATATATATATATATATATATATATATATATATATATATATGCCGTCATTTCTGCAGAACAGCCATTGGTCTCCATTTGAAACTGTAAAGATAACAGTAAAAAAAACTTCCTAACTTGGTAAGATGACCTAGGAGAAATCTGTACTATTATTATACAAATAATAAGTATCAGCTTTGTACTATAAACTTTACTGGTCGATTTTCCTTTTTTTGTAGTGATGAGGTTTTATTTAGATTGATTTATGGCCGTGAGCAGTGAGATCTGGTCGTTGCAACCATTGAGGGAGATTACATGGCTCTGTGACAGCATGAGTGTTTAATATAAAATGAAAACCGATTTCAGAGGTTGTGGCCTCAGTGTATTGTTTGTTTTTGTGTATTTGTGTTGTTCAGAGGGGAGATAAATCATCCAGTGTTTAGGGTGAGAATCTGCTTCTGCTTTTTATAAACGTATATAGCATGCTTATGAAGTGATGCTTTTCTCAATTTTTATTGTAGAATCCATTTGGCAATCCCACTGCTGTTTGTTGTCTTTTGTGGTGTTCATTTAGGGGAATTGTGTTTTTCTTTCTTCTTTTTTTTTTTTTTTACTTTTCTCAACTCACTATATTACCACAGTAACACAATATTTAGTTGTTTCATGTGACAGTATTTTCATCAAAAGTTTGAAGTTCCAAGAGAGTGACATGGTGTTTTTAAATGCTGTTTGTTCTCAAATGTACTCAGCGGTAAGACACTTTATATCCTACAAAAGGAATTAGTGACAAGTGACAGAAAGCAGTGGCACAGCTCACTGACAGAAAGCTTCCACCACTGAGTAAGCAGGTAAGACTTTATTTTTCACCAAAACATGCATCTAGCATAAACAGTGTGATTGGGTTACAGCTAGTTTTCATCAGTCTGCAGGGAGGTGACAGTCATGAGTGAGAGGTGATAATATGAAGACAGACGAACACACGCTATAGCTTTGCTTTTAGCTTGAAGGATAACTGGCACTGCAGTCTCTTTTTGTTCTGCTTTTCAGAATATTTGTTCAATGACCTCTATAAATCATCATCAGAAGGTAAATGCAGCTTCAGTGGCCCAAAGGCTGTTTCACAAAGCAGCATTAGGAGTGACTGTTTCCTAATGATTTCAGCAATAATCACAGTTTTTATGTATTTACAGAAACAGTCAAAGTCTTGTCAATGACATTTTTCAGTTATCTGTTGTTATTAAGGAAGGGAACAGGAGGAGAAATTTCTTGAAATATTTTGGTATGAAATGTCAAAGTATATCTTTTTGTTTGCCAAAATTGTGACTCCATATTTGGTTGATGATCAAATACCTGAAATGTTGTGGTGCTCTTGATTGTGTTTTTGTTTCATAATGTAAGACAGCTATTCTGACTCTAATAAGGAATGACTGTGGCTCAGTTTTTGGTTATTGGCTAACAGGACTTAATATAATATTAGATGTTAGCTGAAACACACATAGGTTCTTAATTAGTCCTGTAGTTTGACATTTTATGCAGTAACTGACTTTGATAAGCAGTGAAACAAGGCAGACTGAAGGTCTACATTTCTTTGTCAAACTAATCCCATTTCTTCACTGACAGACTTCAATGTTTCTTGAACCATGTAACAATGGTGCAGGGCAGTCCTTTCTCGCCCCGGCGTGTCAGTCATTAGCAGACTGGACTTTCCTAAACTGTCTATTGGTTTTGCAAAGCGATTTACATCAATTTCAGTCTAACGAGGTCAGTAAACAACATTTGTTTCTAGGTTTATGAAACACCTTAGCTTTCTGCTACAGTTATTTTCTCCAAGAAAGCAAGCAAACACATCAACATGTGGCAGTGATCAATTTACTGCCACAAAGCATATAGGAAAGTGCAGGCACAAGATACACTGGTGAAAGTGTTCTTATTGTCCAAACAAGTGCAGATTCATGCTGGCATAGTGTGGACAGAATACCATCTGCTTGTACAAAGTGCAAGCCAGGTTCTGTCTACATTTTTAGAAACATATGTTGAAATATTGCGCCACACTCTTTCACGCAAAAACACTGTCATTTTCAAACATGAAAAATAAATATTTCACAATAAATAAATGGACTCATATAAAAGGCTACATAGAGAAGGCATCATATATAATACTAGATTGTAAGTACACAAAAAACAGACAATTCACAACCAACATTGTGTAAACAAACAGAAAAATGCTTAGCCCTCTTTTGTTTATGCCATGGAGTGGAAGTTCGATAGAAATTTCAGTATTATTCCAGCTAAATCCTATTTTACATCTTGTTTTGCACAGATCGTCAGTTTGTTTCCAAAATCTTAAATGTCCTTTCTACAGTCAGTGGCAAAACACAACAGAATAGTTATGCCCTGTATTAGCCTAAAGCAGACCCACTGCATGACCGACATGCAACATCCCAATTTCAATAAGGAGGAACCAGAAGGAGGATTTTTTCATGACAGTAAAGAGGCATATCCCCTTTTACAATCGTGCATGTTTGCAGGTCATTTTTTCTGTATTCACCTGTAGTTAAGAATAACAGTCAAGAAAAACATAGAAAAAAACGTAGGCATCTCATGCATAATGTAGAACGGCTTTGTGAGACTATTTTAGGTTTAGAATCTTTAAAGTCTCTAAAGTAAACAATCCAGTCTTCATTCACATGAGCCTGAAGTTTCATGGATTCTGAGCAGGTAAAATTTGATCATTTTGAACCGTCAGCCAATAGTTAAGACTGAATAAACCAATAGTCTTTGATCTCTACTTGGAATTTGTTGGTGTTGTACATGTTAAAAAATTAAACAATGGTTAATGGTTGTCATTAAAAATTCTTCATGGTTTCTGTTGCTATAAATAGATAATTTCATGACAACGTCAAGCTTTTGCTTGACATTGGCCTACAAATTTCAATATGTGTGGGTGGTTGGCTTTTCAGTCATCAGAGCCAGTGTCTCTTCTACAAAGTATGTTCTCAAGTCATTATCATCATACATTTGCAAAGCAAAGTAGACCTTATGCTAATGACAGAGTTGTATCAATTCGGCACAAGACACATCTACAGGTCTTACAAAGACTATTTACAATTTCTGCACATATATAAAAATATTTTAGTGACAGCATCATCCCCTACTTCAAAACCTGCTTAAGTGTCAGCAAACATATCTTCCACCTGAAAAATCACATTCTGTTGGGCAAAATCAAAGGCATCAGTCCAGAAGTAGAAAAACTAAGGATCTTCCAAATTAGAAAACTAGTCTTATCTTTCCAGGAGTAGCACAACCTATTTGGTGCAAGTAAGGCACCTTGTAGCCTTGGTCACTGCATTATTCCATCTAACAAAACAGGCTTAAGAAAATTTCATGAAAGCCATTTTGAATATCTAATCCATTTGATCCAAGGCAGCCCTAACACATACACACATTATAAACTGTGAAAAAGGAGCAAAGGTTAGAATATCATTATACTTCCATAAAAATAATCGACTTCTAGATCATGGCATGCAGCTATTTAGGCTTTTATTTTATCAATCTTTCTACGCAATCTATCTGTGACATGTCTTACAAATGTCCACATGTCACAGACTTCTCTTCTTTAAGAAAAAACTGTTCTCTTATCAAGACCCCGACTACACTAATGTGCAAACTGTGAGCCAATTGTTGAAAAATTATTTGTACAGTTTAAATAACATCCTGTTAGATTTGATATACTTAGCAGCTAAACTTGTAAGTTAGCTTTAAAAGGAATAAAAAACAGTTCCAGAGACAGATGAATTAACTGACTTGAAATTTCTCAAGTCAGATTTACTGACAATTCAAAGCATTTTTAGATTACAACAACATTCACTCAGTTGTTCTTTCAAACATGTACACACTCATACATAGATCGTTAGCAATTTGGAATTAAGTGCCTGGCTCAAAGACACACTGACCAGTGGCATGGGGAGGAAGCCAGAATGAAACTCACACTGTTCTTACTGCAAGCTCACTACTTTTAGAGTAGTGCAGTAGTTTTTCTTTTACAATACTGAAGAAGAAAAATTTTGTTTTACTTTACACTGCTACTCATTTGTTTGTCCAAACAAGTTTGTTTTTCAAGTGATCTTGAGTGTAGTCCAGAGACAAGATAAGTCTCTAAAATTGTTACAATTTTTGATTGAGTCCTTAAAACAAACTTGGTTGTTAAAGAACCACATTTCACAGGAAATCATACCAACCTTTACAAAACCCCAGGCAGAGCTGAATGTCTACATTAGTTGACTGTAGTATTCCAGTCATGGAAGGAAGCCCATCTGAGTCCATCTGCAGTTGGTCACATGCCCTTTACAGAACAACTGTAAAGCATAAAGCTATGCTTGTTACTCCTCCATTCATTTATTCATTTCGAACAGACAAACATTAAAAACTAGAAAAAATACAAATAACACAAATTATCGTTCCCAATTGACATGCAAAAGTACCAAACTTCAGAATTCGAAACAGGAAAGATAAGTGTCCTCACTGTAGGTCTCAATGTACTTGCACATATCCAAGTCCTCCTCTGTGTGGATGTATAAATTTGCAGGTGTGTGTCACTGTCCTGGTAATGCAGGAAAGTGTGATGGCACAAGTGTGTGAATATGTGCCAGAGAGTGTGTTTGTGTATTTAGGGGCAACGTGGTGTGGCCCTTAGCTGGCAGATGGCTGGACAGTAGTTCCTCTTCAACACCATCAGCTACAAAAGAGTGGGAATGGAGTTGTTAAAAGGCAGCTCATGTTTTCTATGGCATAACATTCACAATTGAACAAATATTAAACTGAAAGAATTGAATGTGACCTACCACTTCCAGGGTCCATGTCAGCCTGGTTCCCAGTGATGTGGTGCCAATATGCAGACCGGGGTAGGATGGCAGTTGGTGTACATGGGTAGGAGCCAACCTCTGAGTCCTTAGACAACATCTGGATGTCAAATGCACATAACAGCACAGAAAATCAAGATGAAGTTCATAAACTACAACATTCTTTATAACTTTTAATGAGACCTCATGACTTTACATGGATGTTTCTGTCTCTGCAGCAGTCACTCACAAACAGAAGAAACAACTTTATACTCTCTTATATTTCTAGATGTATCAGAAAATAAACCTGATTTAAATCCAGTTTAAGTTCGAGCTTACTCATCCAGACTAGCTTCATACTTCATGTCTGTTGCAAATACATACACGTACACTAAAGTTTAGATCAGGCCAAAAATATTCAACCCAGCCTCCTCTATTCATTTATTCATTTCGAACAGACAAACATTAAAAACTAGAAAAAAAACATTAAAAACACAAATTATCGTTCCCAATTGACATGCAATTATCTGTTGCAGGGTTCGGTAGAAGATGAAAGATTAGAAATAAGTAGAACGACATGTTCTGGATTCTGTTTTCCTCAATCTCTTTTATCCTTGTCTACCTGCTTACATGGACCCCTGCAGCTTGCATAGCCATGCTTATGTGTGACTGTTGCCAGTCATATGTAAACAGACTGAAACTGATTAGATTACCATTTAGGGAGAGTACAGATTGCAGAGAAGAATAAAAAGCTAAACTGGCTACAATCTTTGCCTCAGTGGTGGCATCCCTAAGGCTGGACGGTTAATGTAACTCTTTATCTGTTCCATTTATATGACATGTGGCTTGTAACATTTGATCATTTTTCGGCACTAAAGCCTGTTATTATATATAATCAAATTTCATTTTTTGTCAAGGTAATTTACACTGAATGGTTTTGGTCTTTTCCTGAAACTGGTTAACAAACCTGGGTGGTGCACAAAGACAAAATTGAATGAACTCCACACAGCTTTACATTTTGCATTCTTGTTTGGTTTTCTCTGTGCTGGATGTCTTGCCGGTTTATTAAGTGCACCACAGAAACTCAAGCCCAACCAAGACATCAAGCAAATAATTTTGACTGAACCCAACTTGAATTTTGTGTCAAGTTCTAAACTCACCCACCTCCTCTTTGGGCTGTGGGTGTGCGTGTGTGTGTGTATGTGTCAGCCAAGTTCTCACCCTTCTGTTTTTCTCTAACTCCAGCAGAACCTTTTTGTGCTGCTCAGCGATGGCCAGTGTAGAGGAGTGAACCCTCTGGTAAATCTGCTCCCCATCTTTGGTCTGGAAGGTGTAGAGGCCTTCACCACTATCACACATCCTTCACACAAAGACAATGCTGTATTAAACCAGGCTATACAACAGCACTAGCTAATGTACTGGAAATATAGCAATCATTTCAGAAAAAATTAAAGAATTCAGAACTGGAATATTATATGAAAAATATGAAATTAGACAGAACCCCCCAGAAGCAGCGGCTTTAACCCGCCTGGTAGAAACGTTAAGAAGAAGCTTAGCGAACAGTCACAGGTGGTACCAGGGGTGGTATCAGGTGGTACCAGGGGTGGTACCAGGTGGTACTAGGGGTGGTACCGAGGCTTTGAGCTGTGTCGTGACTCACAGTAACAGTTGCAGTAGACATTGTCTTATCAGGATATCTGATATAAACACAGACATTCTTTCTATCGGTTGGTAGGACCAACTCAGATGAGCCTGTAGAACTATTGCGAGGATAATTATGAAAATATAAATAGAAACAACTATTCTAATGTCAATCATACCTAGGTATTTATTCACAAACCAACGTATGAAAAAATATTCTTGCCCATAATTTGGTGAGGGGGCACAGATCCGCCCCCCTCCTCACCGTGGACGAGATGAAGGCAGAAACTGAGAGCCATTATTAGACTGAGTGCAGCCAGACCAGTTTATTTTGATAAATTATTATATTTAGCTAAATATCATTGCTGAGGGGCACAAGGAGGACTTTTGACATACAGATAAAAAAAGAATAAAAAAAAAAAAAAAAACACATCTCAAAAAGGGCACTAAGGGCATCAAAGATGAAAGGGGCAGGGTCTAAAACCCGTTTCACCCCCCACCCCTGCAAGTCCCTGCCTGGGCGTAAAGTTGAAGATCTCTTCAGGTTTGCACCAAGTAGCAGGTGTGTGAATTCTAATTCATAAAAATGATGGATGTTGTTCAGATTTCCATTTAAGAAACCCAGCAAAATATGGAAAATGTTCCTCTAACACAATTCCTGTCTCTGCCACTCCCATCCCAGCCTGGAGTGCCTGCAGCTGGCTGTCCAGGCTGACCAACCTGCCCTCTGTGCTGGAGGTTTGAATTTTTACATTTTTCAGTTTTGTGAACAGACCCAGCCCAATAGAAAAGAAGGGAATGGAAAAATTCAATACATCAGAACTCATTTGACATATGTCTTTCCATCTCCTTTAAAAAAAAAATAAATAAAAAAATAAATAAATAATTGTAAAATAAATCAAATTGTTGCACAATAGCTTGTACCTCTTCTGGTGATTAAACAGACTTTAAATCCCCTTTACTGAAATCTGAAAATGTTCCAAAATGTCTAATGGCATAAAAGTGTCACTTGTCTTTTATTTTGAACTTGGTTTTAATCTTTGATCTTTTGTATTAGCTAAGAAAAAGATCAATATCCTTTTCTTAAAAAGTCAAGTAGTTACAATTCTGTTGTTATGGATGCCCAGGTCAGTGAGTAGTGTATGAATACTGCAGAAATCCCATATGTACTACAACACACTCTTTTAAAATGCTAACATAATGGGCAGTGGCTACACAATAATTTCAGTATCTCTACTCCAACGTATAGTTTGGAAACTGTGATTATATGGATAAGTTCAGTAATAATATATCTCGCCTACTTTTTGCCACTGTCAGCCTTTCCAGGTCTCACCGTCCGGCTTCAAAAGTGAAGCGAGTGGCATCACGTCCGTAGCGCCGGAGAGAGCAGAGGGGCCAAGTAATCAGCTTGGTGCGAGGGTTGTGGATGTCCCACAGGTATATATTCTCATGGGTTATCTGCATCATGCACTCCCCGTAGATATCCAGGTTTGGACAGGGAAGGAGGAACACATTGAAGCGCTCTAACAAGACATAGAATGTCAGGAGAAAAGGAAACAATATTTTCTAAGGGAAGAAATTTTATCAAAATGAATATCCAAAGAGTCCTGCTGTGGACTGAAACCTCCCTCTAAAGCTGTATATCTCAACAATATGTGTGTGTGAGTGTGTGTGAAGTACCTGTGTGTTCACGCTGTACTCCAGCAGCCAGCAGGTCAGGTTCTCCCATACTGATGTCATTCAGTCGAATACCAAGACACTCGATAGACAGCATCTTCAGCCAGTCCTCTGCCTCTAGCTCTAAGACACACAACACTTCACATCTGGTCTACTCTGGTCTACAAGCCTGTTCCTGGGACGTCTCAGCAGCGATGTCCAGCAGCTGAGCTGAGCTACGTGAATGTTTGACTGTGTAAGTTTTCTTACCTGATTCACAGGTGAAGGTGCGTGAGGAGTCATCAGTAAACACAATGGCTACTGCCTGTCGCTTGGCATCTCGAGGTAACCGGGTGATGTTCTTGACGTTACTAATTTCTGTTACCTAAATAAAAAAAAGAAAAGGGAACATATGATGACTAAATTAAAAACAGTAAATTGCTAAAGTATTGGTTATTTTCATAGCTCATACTTTAATGTATTTTATTTTAATTTTATGCTGCACATCTTTATTCATATAAATAAGTCCAAAGGCAGTTACCAATTCACTTGAGTTGTATCTTTCATTAGAAAGGGATGTGTAGTAAATCATCTCCCATAACAAAGAATGAGAAGCACAGTCATTCTTATTTAACACCACAAACTCATCAGTTGCATTAGAAATAAAGTTGAAAAATTCTTCATCTGCAGTCAGAAGAGAATTAAACTGGCATAGAAGTCGGCTTGTGGGAAGTCAACTGAATATACAATACTAATGATGTGTGGTCCGTAATCATCACACTCAAATAATCAGAAGAAACTACATATAAATTGATAATCCGGTCAATAAAAAATAATCAATTCTGGAGCAGGATTATGCACCTTAAAAAAAGAAAGTATTTTACTATTTGGGTTTCAGGATCTCCACGGGTCAATAAGACCATTCTGCATTATGGAATCAGAGAATCATTACAGATTTAGTTAAGTTATGGGGATTGGCTCAATCTAACACTGGGTCAATGACACAATTCAGGTCACTCCCTAAAATTGGCAAATGAGTTGTGCCTGGTCCTACCATTTAATAAAATAGAAAACACAAAACAAAAGATAACAACACAACAGTAAAGAGCTGAGTTGGACCTCTCCAACCCCATACCAGAAAACAAACCCATAACAGAACAACGCCCAAAGTCTCCATAAAAACAGAAATATTGAGACAGCAGCGCCATACACAGCAGTTATTCACAATAAAAGGTGAACGTGGAGATAAAACAGAGCAAACAGATTCAGAATTATATAAAAAAAGGTTAATAACTCCTGCCAACATCAACATGATAATAGTATGTGCTTATTTTACTTCAAGATTATATTTGTTATATTGTAACCGTCATCCAAACAAGACTGAGAACAGCAAAATGCTTATATAATGAAGAAATATGCTCCATAGCAATAAATAGAACTTATACATGCTCAGGAAGATTATGAATATTTAGTCAAACAAAAAATAATCACACGCGTGTTGGTGTTTTGACAGTCAAACCAAAATTTTGAAGTATATCAGTCTTTTTAAATAGTCCTAATATAAGATCACTAAAATTATTTAAGAAGTTAGTTTAAATTTTTGAGACTATAAATACTTGAGAGCCTAAAAGTCTAAGAGTTTTTGCTAGAAACCACCTTCCTCCAGACTCCCCTCATGCTTCCTGTTCTTGAAAAGAAATCTTTAGTTTTGAGGTCTCACTAAATCAGAGGTACTTGTGCTGTAGGTGTTATCTCAGCAGATGTGGTACTTTGTTTACAGGTCAAATGTTTATTATGTGCATACCTTATCTCTGTGGGCTGTAGCTAGCTCAAAGTCAAAAGTTTATCTCAATAAAATTACACCCAGCACACTGATAATATGACATAAATAAGAAAAATGATTTGTTTTAATGCCAAAGGGAATGTTAATGCAACACAAATTGTTTCTGTAAAGTAGAGGTGTCCATGAGGCTGGTGTTGTTATAATCTCACAAAATCGTAATGTGGTCTTTGTTAGCAGAGTAATGAGTGTCTCCACCTGTCAGGTGGGACACTGGAGTTCAATGCTCAGCTGGTGTTTTTGAGTAAAGCTATTCAGTTCTTTTTATGTTATTCTCATTAAACACAAACTGCTAAGTTGACACCACTAGTAGCTAGATTCGATTCAGAATTTGTAGATCCATAGAAGTAAGGGTCACGTTTTAATGTGAAGATTGGTTCTTCTCATCTGTCAGTGGGTGTGGATGTGTGCATACACATGATGGTGATCACTTTATTTATTTTCCCCTACAGAAAATATACCTGCTGTTCTTCACAAAAATAACAAACTCACTTTGGGACAAGCTCTGATGTAAGCAGCCTTTTCATCAGGGTATTTCTCAAGACGACGAGGTCCTTTGCTCGATGACTTCTTAAACACAAGCCAGCAGCGCCGATAGATCTGCAATATTCAGGGACACCCACAAAGACAGTGACAAACATAAAGAAGGAATCACACCCTCAAAACCTTTTGTTTCGTCCACCAGTGACAATAAAAAATCTGCTAGTGTGTACAAAAAAGTTAAGAAGTTGGTTTTTGTGAGTCCAACAGCTGGTTTCTTACCATCTGGAGACATGTTTTATTCAAATTATTTCATAATAAAAAGGTAAAAATAACAGAGAATAGGTGTGGGCCTGTGAGATGTGAGCTTGTCTCAGACAGAATAGACTCTTTGAGAGTAACTCACAACCCAACAAGGCAGCAGTATAATTGATTCTTGTTTAGTTTATGGATGGTTACATTGCTCAATAAATGGGGGTTGCTATGTTAAATTAAATTATTATCCCAATTACAATTAAGTTGGAATGTCAAGTGAAGCATAAGTATAAACAGAATAGCTTGCAAATCCTTCTCACCCCATATTTAACTGAATTCACTACAAAAACAAGATATTTAATGTTCAAATGGATAGCATTAAATATGAGTTTAATGTTATCCATTAAATGTATATTTACTGACATAGCAATTTGGAAAATAGTTCAAGATTTATGGAAACCATTAAATGCCATTAGGTGTTGGGGGTTAAAAGACGAATTTAACAACCTTTATCTTTGGAGCAGTGTTAAAACATTTTATTTGGTTGCAATTATTTAGCAATTATTATATATTGGGTCTTTTTTTTAAATCTATTTGCTTGGTTAAATCCAAGGATAGTTTTAGGCCAGGCAGTGTAGTAACAAGACTCCAAGTATCATTCCATTAATGTAAACAAAACACACTAACCCCAAGCTTCCGACTCCGCATTCGTACATAGCCCTGCTTGACGACGTCACTGAAGTTAGAGGCCATCTTTGTATGGCAGAGGACCTGCTGCCTGAACCCGGAGAGCTCATCCAGATGTCTCTCCAGTACTTCAGCTAATCAGCCACCTTTTTCTCCTCAGCTTTTAGCTACTTTCATATGGAGTTCTTCTGTTCTTTGGGTCTTTGTGCCTTTTTTTTCTTTCTCTTTTTAGTTTCATTGGATGTTAATTCTCCTTCAATGGACAATAAACCTCCTTAACTTTCCTTTAACTTTCCCATTTATTTTGCTCCATGTCTTTTCCCACTCCTGTTGTTTTTTATATTTCTGTTTGATCTTCAAGCAGTTCTTTTCTTATCTACATGTAGATTACCTCTTCTTTATCCTAGGGAAACAAATGACAGAAGAAAGAATCTAGTTAATGACACTATACATTACAAACAGCTTTGCAGGATGTAGGATGGCTTGGTTTAATGCAATGGTAAGAGCACTGTCTATGTTTGCCTGTCTCTGTTTTTGCTTATGAATTAAAAATAAAAATAAAAATGAATAAAGTTCTGCTTAAACTGAATTTTACTTCACTCCTTAAAGCTCAAGAACAAGTTAATTTACATTGTACAATGCCATTTATAATTTTTTCTTGATACAAGTTCTTCTAAAATGCTTTGGTTTATAAAGTCCAGAGGACTCCAGAGATTCATACTACAATCAGTCATTCATCGGTTAATCAGTTTTGTGAATCTGCATTCTTCCCCCCTTGCAGTAATTTTAGTAGTCCATGTAAATCTATGCCAAAGTTGCAAGTAAACAAATCAAAAATGTTCTGGTTAACATGCAGGGTTCTTTACATCACCCTTCGAAGAGTGGTTAAATTTTATTTTTCTTGGGATTGTACCCACATCAGTGAGAAAATTCCTTTTTGGAAACTTAGGGACCTCCAACAATTCAAGAGGGATTTTCCGAAGACGTCTGATTGAGGCATCAATCATGACAGACATAAATATAGTATGCTGATAATTATTGTGTCATTGGCCGCATTATTGGCAATGCGGCCAATAATAGTTGGTATACTCGCCAAAGCAAACAAAACACTATAACTTTCACATAAAAAGGTCGATTGGCTACAAACTTGGCATGAAGGGTCCTGGTTGGACACCTGACCATCCAATGTTGTCATAGTTTGACATCATCTAATCCCTGGACTCTAAGAACAGCTTCTAAGTAAGCCGTCAAAACTTTCTAAGCTTATTTAGAAAACTGAATCTATGACCCTCTTGGGCTGATCATCTTGATCAGCCCAAGAGTCAATGCACAGCTTCAATTATTACAATTAAAACATAGCGATCAGGCCCAGAACATGGGAGCGGTGATGGAGTCTGACCTGAACCTTTTATGGTTCCAGTAAAGCCAGAATTAATAATAACTAATGGTGTCAAATAACATAATTATTTTATTCGACAGTAGAGGCAGTCGCAAGCCTGAAGAGATGCCACTAAGGAAGAGATCTAGAAATACCCCAAAAGCTACAGAATTCGTTAAAAACTGTGAGCTGAAATAAATAAAAGAGAGACGTTGGAACGCCTTCTTAAAGATGACTATTTATCACAGATTTCAAAAGAAAAAAAAAACGTGAAGCCGCAGATAACATAGGAAATAGCGCCCCCTTTCACTTTTGGCACGCATTGGTCCCATTTCCAAATAAGTCATGAGACTGACAGAGGTCAATCCCAGGCCTTTTTTGTTTGCTGCAGTGATGTGCTTCTCACAGAGTTTGGAGAAGAAGATGGCAGCTGCTTCATTCACTGATGCTATATATTCATGTTTCCAGCTTTTCCACCCAGAACAATGCTGAAGCGGAGGCATCAAAATCCAACATCTTTTGTTACAATTGTTTCCACCCCTTTGAAACATATAAAATGGTGAGGGTGGCAGGAGTTTGCCCTGCAGTCGTTGGTTTGCGGCTTCAAACACCTGAACTGTCTGTCTGTGTTGTTGGGTAAGATACTTCACCCGCCTTGCCTGCCGGTTCTGGTCAGAAATAAAACTTCTTGAAAACACAATACACAAGTCTGAATAAATTTTTTTAAGCGAATCATTTTCCTTCATAAGCACAGTACATTTACACAGAACAAGAGATATGGGGAAAAATATTAATACAATATAAGAATGTTCTAAAAACTGTGAAGTCAAAACAGCTTCCAATAATTGTGTCCATTTGTGCTTGATTGTAAATTTCACACATGGCAACTGCAACAACTTATTCATTATTCATTAATACAGGGGTAATACTGTACAATAGAAAGAAGATTGTATTTCAAAGTGTGGACATTCATTTAAACTATTAGTTGCCAAAGTCAAGTAAGTGGGTCTACAGTTGACACACTGAAAAGTTCTTTTTCAATTACTGACAACTGACATGTGAAACTATTTGCTTTTAGTGGCCATGTTCTGCTGGTCACTGTGTCCAACATCACCCTAGATTACAATTACCTACCAAACCCACCATCTACTTCCCACTGAGGCACTCCCTCTGTCCCTAGACTACCATTATAAGTCTTAGTTATTATCTTGCCTTTATGACTGCTGTAATAACAGAGACCAGTAAGCAATTAAGAGCTCGGAAACAAGGGCCTCATTATTTGCTGGGGAGAAGACTCCTGAGCAAACCTAATTCTTCCAAAGGTATTAAGTCTATAGAATGTGCTACATAACTAAACATGTTCAAAGTTTAATGAAACAGAAATGCCTCCTCCCACTTTATTTCTCCATTGACAATTAGTGAAGGTCTGTGGGGAGGGAGGAAGGTCTAGCCACATTTAAAATTACTGCCAGCCATTTAATAAACGCTGGCAAACATGATCAGCCATTTCTATTTTGCATTTCACCCTTTATTGCTCATTTAGCTTTTTTACACAACAGATCATAATGTCTCAATCTGCCATCTAAACAGCAAATTTCAGCACTAACTTACTATAAAAATTATTCGCTCTAGAAAGCTTAGGGCAGGTTTCTCTTTTAATATATCTGTTTTTGTTGGGTCGCTCATGACAGTGTACTAGGTCTTCTCTCACCTTATGCTTGAATTCATTGACTTGCACTTGGTGCTCAAAGGATTTATGTATTTTCCAGGCAAATAGTGCCATTTTATAGTGCAATAAAGTAACAATGTTACCTGCAATTGTTATAAAAATGCTGCAATTGTTTAAAAAAATGGAGACTGCAGCTTTCGGAAGGTGCTTTGGTGCTTTGTCAGACCAAGTATTTAGCCCTAAATGGTTTCTAGGGGAGATTTAAAGATTTCTCAGACAAGAATGAAAGAATCAAAGTAACACTCTGGTGTGTTTTTGATGAAGTAATAATGACACATGTCTTTTTTCAATGAGTAAAAATAGACTTTTTCAATAACAAATTAAATGAAATTAAATAAAATGAAATGAAATGACATCAGACTTATATAGTGCTTTTAGCAGGACATTTAAAAATGGTTTACATGAAATTAGTCATTTCCATTCACACACTGATGAAAGCAAGGTGCCACAGCTGTCCTGGGACAGTATGACATAAAACCTTTCTGTATCATTGTAATTAGCCATTTGATGTGACCCAATTAACCAAAGAGAAACAATGTAATGGTGAATATGACAGTGATGTAATTAATCTATTATCCTAATGCTTTATCTAGTTCAGAGGACCCAAAGTTCTCTACACTCTTTACATTGGACCGCCTGACAGAAGTGATGGTGATCACTTCTGTCAGTGAAGTGACACTGACACTACTGTGCCCTCTGACCTCCACCAGAAGGGTAGGAAGGTGAAATATTTTCCCCACGGACACAATAACTGAGCCAAATAGATCAGGGATTTGCACCGGTAACACACTGTTGCAGGACCAACTTACCACCAATTATGGTTGCCGGCCTTTTATTTTTATATTTACACAATTTATTCTGTCAGTTATGTAGGGTAGGCATTTTGTTTTGATCAACTCATAGTTACGGTATGTTAAGATTGTGGGTGTGTGCCACTTGATTCCTAATGTAACAAAACAATTTGGTGCTCCACATGGCAGTTGGTAAATGTATATTATTGCTGTGAAGGTGATGTTAATATTCATGAACTAAACTTTTCCAATATTATTTAAGGACCCCTGGTTGTACTAAAACTAGCAACACTAGAAAATGATTTTAATAATCATAATTTGTGTACTATTGTCAGTCAAGAGCTTTTTTTAATGTATCAAGATGAAAGGCTTGTCATTTCTGCACAGTTCAACTTATGTTACTAAATTTTGATCTAGTACTAACTTTAAAAGTCTTCCAGGTTTGCAGTCAGAGCAGAACAGTTCAGTTTGCTTTAGAGAACTGAAACATCAATGAAGCTGATGCACTCCACTGTGCACTCCACACAGGGTAAACATATAATCAATAGATTCTTTAAAGGCAGCACTTTTTTTTAAGTCATTTTCAATCTCTTTAAAAATATTTTCATTTGCTCTGGATGAGCGATAATAGCACAACCCCTTTATCATGTTCGAGGTGTGGGAAGCTGCTTGAACCCAGCACTCAATACTAAAACACAGAAACAGGAAACTCTTCATTTTTGGCACTATTAAGCCCAACAATGAACTGAAAAAAAAGAAAAAAGAAAAAAAAAAAACTCAAGTAGCTGCTTTAAATATCTGAATATTATTTTTGAAGCCCAAACAGTTATCACTAAATTGTGATTATAGGCATGGAGAGGGAATTAAACACATTCCTGCTACATGTCTATGTTCATATGTGTATTTACTACCAAAATAAAGGCTAAATAAAAACTGCTACTGTGTGTAATTAGTTACAAGACTAATAATGCTGAAATATAATTTGTAGTAGTAGAATAGCAAAGTCGTCATTTATTTATAGTTCAGTCTGCAAAATGCATACAAATTGAGAAAAAAAACACGTTTGATTCTTTTTTTTATATGTTCAGTTATTCAGAAATCAGCTGGGTTTTATTTCTTGTTTTCGTGGCTCTAAATATATTATTGTTCTCCAACAAACACCTGCTCCAGAAAACAGGATTAAAGTGCCAGTGAGCTGTGGAGCTTCACAGAGACATCCTCTGTCCTCCATGTTACCTGCGTGACAGCTGTGATCGTGGGTCCATCTCTCTGTAGAAAGCTGTGGACGGGCGGGGTCTGAGTCTGTCTTCACCGCAAAACTCCGGTCCAGCCGCTTCACCAGCTCTGCCTGCTGGGGGACAAGGCTCGGCGATCCAACACCAAAACGCGACAGACTGGGCACAAAAGCGCCTTGTGATCACGCACGGCTGAGCATCCTCCAGCCCGCCCGGGCTCTCCGTCTCTGTCCGAAGCTCTGATCGGCTCTGAGCTGAGCTGGGCCGGGCCTGGCCGGGCCGATCCGAGCCGGTCCGTCAGAGCTAAAGCGTTTCGGAATCCGACAGGATACAACAGAGGCACACGCCCAGAACTAGCCCAGCCGTCCATCCACGTTCCAGTCGTACACGCCTCCCACACCAATACCAATACAAAGAGGCAGCGGGACGTGGAGAGAATCCACATAGATCTGTGGGTTCCAACTAAACTTAACCTTGTTTTCCAACGAGTTTATTTATTTATCTATTTATCTATCTTTTGCCTTGTAATCCAGTATGACAAAGACCCAGAGCAAGCAGCCAGAGCTACAATGATCAAACACACCCATGTGTTAGAATATCAGCAATTCTTGAGAATGGAGCAAAATCTATAAAAAACTATAAAACAAAAGCTAATGTGTTCATAGCACACTGACTTGGCTATCAGATAATATATTAGTACAGCCTCCTCTGTGTGTGTGTGTGTGTGGGGGGGGGGGGGGTTAGCTGGATATTTTCTTTGTCAACACTGTTGACACTTTGTTTCCTGTCCTTTTTCCTTTTATATTAATATACAGCTTTTACATTACTCTCTGTTGTACTTGATTGTCTCAGACAGAGTTCTCCATCAACAACCATGTTCTTGTCTGCACTCCAAGAGCACTGATGTGAGGCAGGGAGGAGTCTGGAGAAGAGGCCAAAATGCCCTCATAAGCCCTACTGCCCTGAGAAGTTGCTGTCCACTTTAACAATAACTGTTTGGGTTGACATTGAGAACCAAAGGATCTCAATGTCAACAGCATGTAATTTGCAGTACACCCAAAATAATTGTGTGACCTGTTTTTGTGTAGCAAAACTGAGTTCATTTCCTATTATTTCTGATAGATTTTACACCTTATTTACATTTGATCTTATTTTAAAATCCTTGGAGGAAAGGACTGATAAATGTGAGCAGTATTGTGCTAATTGCAAAGAAACAAGTGTTAAGAAAAATTATTTTGCAAAGCATGAATAATAACTCAAGGTTTGCAGATTATTTTACTCATTCCCAGACTGAAAGTAAAACTAAGATTGAAGTGATGAAGTCCACTGCGTGCTTAGGCCGAAAACCCTGATGATATACCAGTCATGTCACTCAAAGGCCCAGCCAGGATGACACCTTCACAACCTTGATTCTACCCCAGACCCACCTAGGAGCATTCAAAATGTCAAAATCAGTTATGTTCCATTGGTTATGTTCCATCTCATTGAGTTTCAGGATGTCATGATGCCAGGAAGGTTTCAATTCAGTTTATTTACTGACTTCATTGATCAAGTAGGGACAGTGAAGACAAAGAAGGAAACCCCCCCCCCCTCCGGTGTAAAAGTATTGTCTGAGTTAATACAAAGTAAAAAGGGAGAAGGGGAACAATTAGTTGGTGGCAGCATTATCTCAGATGATGCCTCCCCTCCCAGGCAAACAGCGGATGTAGCCTCTGAGACAAGAAACAACAAAATAACTTTTAAAGTAGCATATAATGCAAATTGGAGACAAGGTAGAAGTGAGGAAAAGTAGCCGGTTTGTCTTCTAGCAGTGTAACTACAGAGATAGCTCAGGATAATCTAACCCCTTAGAAAGTGGCATGACCCACATACAGAATACACTAAGGACTTGGAATAATAAACATAATAATAATAAAAAAAAAGAGTACTGAATTTATTTACAAACTATTGGGGCATCTGGATGGAACAATGGGTAGCATGGGAATACAGATGAAAATCTGAGGCCAAGAGCCCGGGCTCTCTTTAAATATATTTTAATTTGCTCTGGATGAGCGATAATAGCACAACCCATACAAAATTCTATCCATCGTATTTCTGTCCCTCCTATTTCTGTCCCTCCAGAGCTCAGTCACTCTGGTAAGTGACTGAGCTCACTTACCAGAAGAGCTCAGTCTTGACTTTACCTGTGCAGTTGACCATCAGGCAAGGACTTTTTCTTCTTTTTTATGGCGGGTGACTATGCTGGAGTGTGGGCTAGATTATTTTTCTTATCTACCCAAACTAAATTCTTATACATAATCCAATTTCCTTTAGAAATGCAATAAATTAGTTATTTATCTTGTCACATTTAACCGAGATTCATTCTTAATGTCTACATACCATATTTCCTTACTTGATTTTTTAGTTTTTCTCTGCTCACCCTATATTTTTCACAATAAATTATTGCCTGCTCAGTCTATAACTATGCTGAGGTAATTATCTCAGTATACTGAGATTTTTTTTTTCAAAGTGGCAGAAATGGGTTTCCATGTCTTTCTCATCTGACCATAATGAATTGTGAAATTGCTGCATTGTTAGTTGATTTATGATATTTTTAATTAGTCAGTCTTGAAGTTATTTTTCAGCATCCCATTTATTTTCATTATATATTATTACTTACTTGATTCTATTCTTTACTTACTTTTACTTCATTTTTATTTGAATTAGTAGTTTAGATGTTTGTACTTTAGATATAAGATTTGCTTGCTGAATAATTTCACTGTAAGGGGAATTTATTATTAATAATTTCCCTTTTGGAGGGTAGTTGTTCGTACTTATTCTGCTCTATGCAGTGTTTCTTATCCAGTAACACTGAATTAATTCCTTCATGAGAGACTGAATGTGTTTAACTAATGATTCCTGATTATCAACTAGTGGCCTCACATTTTAACTAAGACAAATCTTAACGATAAAAAAATGCCTAAATCATAAATTATTGATCATAATTATTAATAGTTACATAAGCAAACATTATTATATTTGCTGTTGCACAATTAGTAAACAGAAGCAAAAACTGGAAACTCATCAAATTAGTATAAGTGGTAAAGTTGTGATTATGAATTAAATAAAAGCCATAAGGTAGCTAAGTAAAGATTGGATTAAACAGGTGCAGAGATAACTGATGAACAATCAAATCAAAATAGTGAAGATAGATCTTGAACACAATGAACCAATTATATAATGTTTCCACTATATTAAAGAGGGACACATCAAATGTGCTTTGAATTGGTTCAGATTCACTAAGACATTGTTTGAATGGGGCCAACTGTGAGACTCAGCGGTACCAGTTACTGTCAGAATGATAGATGCAGCTATTGGTTTCCTGCTCGCTCTGTCCACTTGTAAATGCTGCTTTGGGAGTTTTCAGGTGTCACTTCACCAACCCAAGGTAAGTGCTGGATGTAAGTACTTAATCACTCATACTGACAGTGATTAAGTATGAGTGATTATACTTATCACTCATACATTATACAAATTTGCCACCCAGTCATTTGACAGCAGGACTGAATAAAGTAAATTGGTGGAATGCAAAATATATATCAAAGAAATTATGGCAATTTGGTCTACGATAGACATCTGCAGTCTATCGGCTAAATGCGCTAATGCTTGTTGATGATGTAGCCTGCCAGCATCAAGAGAGCAAGCGGGAAGCAGCATGGCTTAGAGCTTCTGAAAGACAGGTGAAAAAACATCAATTATCTGGACCAAGGTTGGGTTTAACCTCTGGCAGTCTTAGCGCGATGCTCAGAATGAGTGCAGCAGATGTCACGGTTGTACAGCTGGGAAGAGCCATGGGGCAGAGTGATGGTCTGATGGTCTTTCCAAAACCACACATAAAACCTTGTAAAAGTGCTCAGAGTTACAACTTGTGGGGTTTTAATGACCCTGTGTCTAAAGACCAAGGGAGAATTAAACAGTAAAACCAGGAGTAGAAAAATGTACATTCGTATTTGGTGGTGATTTTTGTTGGGGTGAAAGTGTGAGCAACTTACCTGCTTCAAACAAATCAGAACTGTTACTTTATGAAGCATTAGTCTTTTCATAGTTCCTGTTGTTCACCTGTTGGCCTGATGACAAAAATCGTTCCTGTTGATGAACACTTGCTGACTGATGCTTTGCAAGTAAGTGTTCAAGCTTCAGCCTACATGGAATTATGTTTTCCCTCAGCAGTCATAAATCAGTGCTCCTGCTTGGCATGTGGCCAAATAAGGGATTGCAGTAGTTTTGACCATCTAAGTTTGTCCAGTGTCTTATAATTTTATGGCTTCCTACACTTGAAAAGGAGGACTTGAAGACATCAGGAATTCACTCAATCTTTTTTTATTTTCACCAATGAGTGAGAACCAATGAACAGAACAGGTGAAAAACCTACAAAACACGTACAAAATATTTTAACATACATTTTAGACATTTGGTTCAAAGTTAATTTATCTTCATGACTAATTTAATTTTTAACCTTAAATTCACAATATTAAATTATTAAATTTCATGTCTGGTTGAATTTGAATTTAACAAATCCACACACTTCAGAATTACAGTTTTTTTTTCTTTCTCTTAGGACATAAGGTTTTTTACATTAGATATCTTAACATACTTTTAGTGGAACCAACTATAAACTAGCAGTGCAAACTGTTACTTCAATAAATTCTTCATTTCATTTCTCAAATGTAAAACTACAATCAAATTACATTCAATTGAGCCCAGTTAGTTGCTTACCAGTAGTCCTTATAAGTCCTTTTCCATGAAATGCTGCTTTGGAGGCTGTGTTTGCCTTCCTCAGCTCTGTTGCAAAACTAGTAAAGTAGTTAGTGGATTCCTTATATACCTGAGTTGAGGGTGCTGCTGATTGGGCCAGATTTCTTTCACCTGCTGAGAAGTGCTGCAGAGTGGCATACTAATGTGTGTATGTGTCTGTCCACACACAAATGTCTATTCATGCACCCACATCTGAACTAATGAGCAGATCTGTGCAACAAAGTTACATCAATTTAAGATTTTTGCTGAATTAAGTGTTAAAAATATCTCTCTTCAGGCATTACAGGGTACCCCTGTGTGATCTGTGAATGGCAGTCCTTGATGCAGCTGGTTTGAGTCCCTGTCCAATGACTTTTGGCACATAACTTTCTTCTTTCTGAAAAACCAACATTTCTAAAATAATTAAACTAAAGATTAATACGATCCTATACAGGCAAAGTAAGTTTGAAATCTTTTTCAATAAGGTTATTGCAGAAGGGACAGATGTTTTTTTTTTATTTGTTGTTTAATATGTTTTTCTAGCCAGGGAAATTTTATTACACCTCCCAGAGGGAAGAAGCTGGAAAAGGGTGAAGGCAGGTGGCATTACTGTCTTTATCACTGTTAATCTATTCAAGTGATTTGTATCTAAAACTGATTTAAAACACACTAAACTCAAGGAGACTATAATATAATATAATATAATATAATATAATATAATATAATATAATATAATATAATCAGTGTTTACCTGGCTGTGTAACCTCTGTTCAGCATTTTTTTAATAAATCTTTTCTTATTCATTGCTTTATTGTCAGTAATGGTTGCTGCATAAGAGTTTCCACTAACACTTGACATTTATAAAAATGGTACAAGTGTTAGTGTCTTGATATAGTTCAGTGTTGTCATAAAATGCATCAATTGTAGTGAGTTTACTACAGTCTTTAATGCACTAACTACAGAGAATGTACAGGTTTTTTAAAATGCTCACATGCCTGCTTCCACTAGCTGTTCCTCTGCTCAGTTTACTGTTATCATGCTTACATTTTAGATGTGTTCTGAGCTTCAGATTCTCTGTTGGGCCATATGGAATGCAGCCCACACAACTTTGCACAAAAAGTCACCATTAAGTAGCCTCCGAACAATCTTAAATGGTTGGAGTCGCAAAAATCCCAACAGTGTTTTTATTTTATATGTCTGTTTATTTCTCAAAGCATTAAGGACCAGCTGTTACTTTTGAGACTAAGAGCTGTTCTAAAGGGTGGAGACTCTACTACTCTGCAGAACCACTGCTTCATGCCAGCTCCCGGTGCTGTCACATTTTCATGCATATCTCCACATCTTCTCATATACCAATTAAATAGGTTTCCCTTTGGAGGAACCATATTTTTGTCCCAGTGGTTGTGTATTTCAAAACTAAGTAAAAAAAAGTGGGAACTGCACTTCCATAAACAACAAAAATAAACTACTACATGTACCTCTGATAAATAGAATTGGATGTCATTTAAAATTCATAAACTTAATATGAAGAGATTCCACAAATTTATGAAACTCTGTGTTTTAGATTTGTTTCTTAGACTGAAGTCTTTCCTAAAACAGATATTAATGAATAACATCAGACTTGTAGTTGTAGATTTATTGCTTAATTCATCACATATCAGCATTAAAAGCCTCCTGGACTGCAGGATGAAGAGAAAATTTCAGGATGAAGTGAAAGAAAGTTACCACTTGAAAACCTGGCAACCTGTGGAAGAAAAGTGACAACTTCCACTTTTATTTTTGCTGATTCTTCTACCGCCATCCTTTACACCTACTTCTTTCATGCTGCCTGCTGCGGGACATATTAAAGATTTAATTATGCCAAAAATCTATTCCAGTTATAAGGTGATAGTTGCAGTTTTTATTGTCTGTGTAAATCATTTGTACCATCAACTACATTTTGTTTAACATTTTTAGCAGAATAACAGAAGGATGTAAAAAATATTTTAACAAGAATAACAGCTTTCAGAATTTCAGTCATTTGGAGAAGGCCAAATATGCTGCAAAACTGTTTACAAATGACAGAATTAGAATCATTTTGGAACAATAAAAATAGAGCAATTTTGTGTAGCAAAAATGTCTGCAGTGCTTTTTTTCAGGACAAACAGAACACATTTACCTGCTACTGAACAGAAAAACTAAACAACTGAAGCAGAAAGATGGGCTCAACATAAATTATTTAGTTGATATTATGAAATTATATTGTATCATAAAAGAAGCTGCATCACACTTATAATTAAGTGCAGTATTACACCATCATTCAGGCACGTGCAGAGGGGGGAACAAGTCCTGACTGTTGTTTGTGCTTATGAGCTGAACAACAGTTCAGATTACCCAGCCTTCTTGGAGTCCATAGAGGGGGTACTGGAGAATGCCCCTCCTGGGGCCTCCCTTGTTCTGCTGGGGGACGTCAACACTCCCCCAGCAGGGGTAATGACAGTGAGACCTGGAGGGGCGTGGTTGGGAGGAACAGCTCCCCTGATCTGAACTTGAGTGGTGTTCTGTTGTTGAACTTCTGTGCTCATCATGGATTGTCCATAACGAACACCATGTTCAGGCATAAGGGTGTCCATATGTGCACTTGGCACCAGGACAACCAAGGCCACAGTTCGATGATCGACTTTGTCATCGTTTCATTGGATCTTTGACCGCATGTCTTGGACACTCGGGTGAAGAGAGGTGCAGAGCTGTCTACTGACCACTACCTGGCAGTGAGTTTGCTCCGGTTGTGGGGGAGGATGCCGGTCAGACCTGGCAGGCCCAAACATGTTGTCAGGGTCGGCTATGAACATCTGACAGTCTCCTGTGAGACGAAGCTTTAACTCCCATCTCCGGCAGAACTTTGAATACGTTCCAGGGGTTGTGGGGGGACATTGAGTCTGAGTGGACCGTATTCTGTGTCTGATTATTGGAACTCTGGCAGCAAGGTTGTTGGTGCCTGTCGCAGATGTCATGTTTGTAAGACACATGAAAATGTTCCATTTTTGTCCCATGTGTCCATTGAACATTTCCCCTGAAACTTTGTGGCCATATCATATTTCAGTCATTCCACATGTCTAATCTGTATTAGTGACTATTTGTAATTGGTGTTTTCTGCTTCAGTGAAAACAGACACAAGAAACTTCTGACAGGAAAACATCTACTAAAAAAGCATAAAAAAGACAAATTTCTTTGTATGTACAGTTGACAGAGATAATAGAAATGACTGTGGTGCACAACCTTTATAAAAACACATTTATAACAACAGCATAAATAGTAGGAATACAGAGTGACGATCATTACAAATATATTGGTCCTCTTCCAGCATCAGAGATAAGCCTGAGACAGAGTGATTGTGGATGGAGAGGGTAAGTACTGAGACCAAGAGGAGCAGAGACATAGTTCTCAAACATGGCCTCCTCTTCAATACCTGCTGGTTCTAACATTAAAAACTCAAAGCAATACCATTGGCTTGCAATGTAAATGTAGCTGTGATTTATTCTTTTATGACACATTTACTCCCTCTCTTGATCCTAACTTTAGGAATTTGAGGAGGAAAATTGAAAAATTCCACAACTGTGTTTGCAGAACTGTACATTATTTAAGATGAGCATCAATAAGTAATCACTTCAGCATCTCCCAGTGAGCAGAGGAAGTACTTAGTTGGTCTGAATGCAAATCACAGGCTGAATTATAAATTCGGAAGCTTAAAAGTTGGCACAAAGTGTCAACCTTTGACTGAAACTTAAAATGTAACAAAGAAGTCTGCTAAGTTTTAGCATTTTCATTTTCGCCACAATGTCACTGAAGCTCAGACTGAAATCTGGGGGTTCACACAGGAAATGTAAAAAAAAAAAAAAAATTCAGATACAGACACCAATAAAGATATTTCTGGGTATGATTAGTCAACAGCAAAGATCTGCAGAAATAAACAACCAATCAGTATCTCAAGTTTTATCAGTTCTCAAGCATCTTGGTTGTGCTGGTGGAGTTGGTGTGTGGACAGTGCTTCAGACATACTGCCTGATCGGTAAAATGAAGTAGACATTTTACTTCATACCAAGAGGTCATAGCTTTCTTCACTTCTGACTTTTTGGTATTTTTTAAATATGACCTGACCATATCTGTGTGAAATATTTTCCATCCCAGAAGCACGTCTCACTGATGGACTGTTACTTCCAGAGTCTCTCTCAGCTTCTTATTCTTCAGTATCTATACATATATTAACTGATGCTTTCACCTGGTTTAATACCAGGTTGTGTTGTCCTGGATCAGCTGCAGCCATATTAAATACATCACTTCCAGATCACTTACAACAGGGTTGATAATCTAGTGTTATCATTGCTTGCAGGTTCAGGTTTGCTGCTTGGATATGAAATATAGAAAAACATCAGAACAGTAAGTTGAACCCAAGGATGCTATCAAGATCATCAATAAGCACTTCAGCCAGCAGAACAAACTTTTCATCTGAAAAACAACATAGGGTGATATATTGATACTGCTCATGTAAATGAAGGCTTGAGCTCGTTTTTTTTCCAGTAGCACTGTTCAAATGAGAAAGCTGCAGTATTTGTGCATTTGAGGTAAAAATAAAAACAGATGACACAAGCTGGAGTCTGATGATGAAGTAACACACGCACTCAGCCTATGAAACATGGAATCTCACTCCAGCCACTGGTTGTTGTCTGCTTGTTGTATGTCTTTGTAAATACGTCAAATCATAAGTATGAGAGGCCATGTGGGGCAAAACTTACAAATTCTCTTGCATATGCCATCAAACTCTTTTACATATACTAATTAACTGTCTTATGTGCAGTATTACCAAACAAAAAAAACTTTGAAATAAACTTACATATATAAATATTTACTTAAATATTAAATCTATATTTACAAAAAAAAGCATAATGAAATTTTGCAAAAACCAGAGATGTATTCATTTTTAAATTATTTTATCCTTCAATAAACATTTTTTTAAGTTTCATTTTTGAGTTTATTGTATTTCCAAATTAAATTGTAGTTTAAATTTCTACAAAAATATTCAACCATTATCTCCATTTATATAGCTCCATTATTTTGAAAACATGACAGTAAATGTGAGACTGAATGTCAGAACACGAGAATATCAGTAAATATTTTGTTTGTGAAAGTGAGATTTAATGATGGTGTGTGTGGATGAATATAGTGGTGTGTGTGTGAGAGAGCTTGATGGAAATGGAAATTATCTTCAATTCTAAGTTTCTGATTGGACGCCTGTAATAAAGAATAAAGGTTGTTTATGAGAAAAAGGCTTAGCAGAAGCTACTCAGGCATTTAAGTAATGAGTCTTTTAAATAATATTGTAAATGCTTCCACAGTAGTTTCAGCAATATCTAAAATGTTAGATACAAGCCGACAGTCGGAGCCTGGGCACACCATCTGCTGCTGCAGCAAATGCTGAACTTCAGCTCCAGTTGGCTTTCACTTGCTAACGGGCTATTCCACATTTTTTTCTCACCATCTTGAGAATTTTTAATCTGCTCTAGTTTAAAAACTACAAAATGTAGATAGTTCAAACCTGGACTAGATTATCCAGCCTTCCATCCATTCATTATCTCTTCACCCTTGTCCCTAGTGGGGTCAGGAGTTGCTGGTGTCTATCTCCAGCTGCGTTCCAGGCGAGAGGCGGGTCACCTGGACAGGTTGCCAGTCTGTCGCATGGCAACATGGAAACAAACAGGACAAACAACCATGCACACACACACTCACATCCAGGAAGAATTTGGAAAGACTAATTAACCTAACAGTCATATTTTGGACTGTGGGAGGAAGCCAGAGTATCCAGAGAGAACCCACACACGCACAGAGAGAACATGCAAACCCCGGGCTGGGAATTGAACCCAGGACCTTCTTGCTGCAAGGCAACAGTGCTACGAACAACTAATTATCCTTTGCTAATAACATAACATTTAGAAACTTAAGTTTGTGAACCATAAAACCTTTACTTAATTTCTGAAAGTTTATTAAAAGGTTATATTAGTTCTTTTGCGCACTGAAACCTCACAGCTCCAGTCTGAAGAGCTGTCAAACTTCACCATCAACTACAGCAGCAGATGAGTCTGATGCTGGCTCAAAGTCACACTTTTAATTATTTATTCTTATTTATATAATACACCATTCACCATGATGATGTTTTTAAGAAAAAAAATAATTTACTGTGGAAACCTTAAAAAAAAATTAAATCGTGCAATATATAGCCAAATAGCGTTTTCAAAGCAAAAATATGTGATTCCAAAGGTCAAGGTTACTTAGATCTAAAGATGTTATTCCAAGGTGTTGACAAGTTTTCATCATAAAATGAAATACAATTTTATTATGTCAATATTTATTTCTATGGGACTTTTCAAAGGTATTGAATGCAGATGTTCAAACTTGCTTTATGAGCAGGATGACACTCTGGCAAACAAAGCACTGCATTTTAAACCTGTCTGTCTCTAGAAAACATTCATTAGTGGTACAGCAGCTGCCCCTTTGGTCCAATCCTGTGGCAAAATGGCAGGGAAAACTCGTTAAAAAACATACTGGTCTTATCTCTTTGTGTCTGTACATTAGAGGTCATCACTTTCCAGTCCTCAAGTGTCCTGCAACTTTTACATGTGTCTCCACTTCAACATGAGTCCACTAATACTAATACTGTTTAGATATTTGTTGATTCAGGAACATGTGTACATTTTTGGACTCTAAGCCTTGATGACTAGAATTGGTGTGGGTAGGAAGAATCAGGTGGTATGGCACAGACTGCAACAGGGTTTCATGAATTTAAATATCCCTATTATATTACACTTGATAGAGAAAAATACCACCATGGGATGGGAGGCAGGGAGCATTGAAAAGAGGAAGAGACTGTAAAACATATTTTGTGTCCTGTGAGATTGATAGTTCTTCTACCAACCTCCTGTGGTTCAGTCCCTCGTGACTGGAGGCCCAGTCATGAGGTTTTGTAGTTTATGCAACCTCCCTAAAAGCAATGATGCAACCATTGAGTAGCTGGGCCACCCATTGAAAAGGCAATCTTTTAAAAATGTGCTGCGCTATATTTTAAGCACAAAAAGAGTCTAAAATGATGTGTGCAAGCAAGTTCAAGATCAGGTCCTTTTTTGCTAAAGCTTTGGTCCTTCAAGAACGCACTGACAAGACAATCTTTAACTGAAAAGACAATCTTTAACTGAGTTATGAATTCATACTGAATTCAGTATGAAGGATTTAAAATCTATCGTATGGCTATAAATACATTAATATTGTTTTTTGTGCTTTACCAATATGTTTCTACTATTTGCAATGTCTTCACAATAAACAACTTTAAAATAACCAAAATGTATAAAGAAAGTTTTTATTTTTTAATTAGAGGTAAAGTGCAAAGTCCTCAAGTGTCAGAGATTCTTCAGCTTCCATGTCAAACACGTTCCATAATTTCATAACTGTTTGTGAGCACTTTTTCCTCAAGTAAAAAAAAAAAAGTTTTTTGTTTTTTTTTTCTAAATCATTTTAGTTGATTTCACATTTTAATGAACTATTTAGTTTAGTCTATTTTACCTATATATTTTCTAAAGATAAAATAGATTTTCCTTCAGGGTAAAACATATTTTTAATGAAGTATAAAAGGCTGATTTGAGAGCATATTAGTATATGCATAGGAGTTTGATGGTACATGTGAGTCTATAGGTTTTGGCCCATGGTGCCTCATATATATGTGAGCTTTAGCAAGTGTGTAGCCTCGTAGGGACCAGGGGCCTCATGTATAAAGCGTGCGTACGCACTAAAAATGTGCTGCGCTATATTTTAAGCACAAGTTGGCATGTAAAAAAATTAAAGTACAAACTTTCTACCTCTGTAAAAATATGCGGCAGCCACTCAAATTTTGTGAACAATAAACAACAAGAGTAACTGTCCAATAAAATATGTGAAAATACAATTTAAACGATGTGATCGTTACCTGTTAGAAACAGGTAACGGGTTATTACTTTCCCCGCCTCCCATTTTTTTAGCCGTAGATTGTTGATCCACTTCACTCCTTTTATTTTTTAGGGTAAGTTTTTTTTTTTTTAATTAACTATCCTGTGAACAACTACCTTTACAAGGTAGTGAAGGTAAAAGATAATATTTATCTTCCTTTCAATTAGAGTGGTTTAAACAATCTTACATGACACAGGTTTAAGGCATTTTGATGCTGGATCAGCAGAAATAAATGGGCTGCATTTACTTCCTGCCCTCCATTTGCATTGGGTGACGTTGTTGCTACACCATCTGCAACCCAGCAATAGAAGAATTCAGAGAGAGTGTTTTATCGGAGACATATTGATCTGCTGGGAAATGTTAATGGTTTACTAGAGTTTAGATTGCCCAGACTGATCATTATGGAGCTCTGCGCAGGACTTAAAGGAGCCATGAACCGGTTCAGGTTCAGCTGGTGCTGCTGACAGGTCAGACAATCGTCCTTCAGTCAAGCCTTGCCAGCTTTCTGAATAGGAAGCATCTCCATTCTGTAAATGGACAATACACATGATTTCTCTATTATTATTATAGAATAAACTTCCACATTCCCCACTCACCCCAAAGGTCTCTCTAGCACGTTGTCTGTCTTTAAATCCCAGCTGAATGCTCTGCTGTTCCAACAAGCATTTCCACTTTATTTTCTTTTTGCAATTTTTTCTCTAAAATGTATTATTTTTATTTTTTGTGAGGTAATCTATGTGTCCTGAAAGCACCTTTTAGGATGCGTAATAATAATTATTTTAAATATTCATACTGCTACATGCAAAAAACGTTGCCATGGTTATTGCTTTTCATGGCAGCAGCCTTCTGGGTATTTTACTAATTTACAAATGTATTTATGGGTGATGGCAAGGCGGACCAGCAGCTGCGCTCCATTTCCTGTAAATTAGGATGTATAAATGAAATGAGCTCAGGTATGTGTGCACGCATAGTTTTTATACATCTGAATTTTTTTGTGCGCTACACTTTTCTCAATTTATCCATGAGTCAATTTTTAGTGTGAAAGCTGCGCATTCTTTCATACATGAGGCTCCTGGTGTGTGCTTGGCACAGTGCAGCCTTATTTAAATCTTGTGGTCTCGGTCTCCCAAAAGAAGACCTGTTGACTTTTCAGATTTGATTAACTCATGATCAGAAATTATTTGACATCCTGAGAAGTCTACATGAATTTACAGTTTGAACAAGAAACAGACAGTGACTTTTGGATTTAAATATAGCTGATGATTTTGGGATATTTTCTGCAAAACACTTCATTGACTTCATATTGTTCATATGACTGCTGATGTCCCAACATCCTGTTCATTTGTGGATGGGGACATACGTCATGGAATCTGTAACTGGAGGTCCTCCTCTTCCTCATCAACATCACTTCTTGGGCCATCTGGGTTTTCAGGACCAAAGCGAGCGGATCGTATCTTCCCAAAAAGAGCAGGACTCTGCTGCTGCCGCCTCAGCCTGGGGGTGGGGAGAGTCCATGTCAGCATGTTAGTCTGTCGCACAGAGCCTACAGTCTGTCTGCAGGGGAATTTCTCATACGGTGATGTGCTGATCAGTCACGTGTGTACAGCATCTCAAGGAGATTTATGGATGTATAGTTGTGTGAAGTAGCCATCAGTATTCAGGAGCTTATCTGCAGTAAACACTAGTTGTTTTTTTATCAAAGTGAGTTTGTAGAAGGAGGGAGATGAAGTTTTACAAGAGGAAGGCTGAGAACAGGAGATGCTGTCATCCTGATGAAATAGGCTTATTATGACGCTTATTTAAAAACTCAGACCAAGTTTCATATCAATGTGAATCAGCAACACATTACACTTTGAATAAGTTTGATTTGGTTTTTGAGTGTTTAAGAACGTTATTAAAAAGAGAAAACCAAGAAATTGAATTTATGCAAGTATTCACAGCCTGTGCCATGAGGCTAAAAATGGATGTGTTTCCACTGAACATCCTTGGAATGTTTTTGTAGCTTGAATGCAGTCCAGCAGTGGTGAATTCAGTTGAACTTGATTTGGAAACATGGGTGCCACAGTTTACAGTGCAGGTCAGTTTTCCTCAAGGCTCCCGAAGGCCTCTTGGACTAGGAGGAACAATATTCTCTGGTCTGATGAGACAAAGACTGAAGTCTGGTGTGAACAGCAGGCAGACAGGCAGGCATCATGTTTGAAGGAAACCAGGCATGGCTCATCTCCAGGCCTACACCTTCTCTACTGTGAAGCCGGGGATTACATTTACCTGTTGTTTTCCTTATTTAAGTTCAGAAAATTTGCTCTTGACCATGCATGCACATCCTGCAGACAATCCTGTAACATATGTACAACAGACTGTTGATCATTTGTAATTACAAGTAGACAGATTGAATGTCGTCTGCAAAACAATGAAAAGAGACTTTGTGCTTTTTAAAGATGTAATCCAGAGGCAGCATGTATAAGAACAGGTGCCATTATTGATCCCTGGGAAACCCAAGACACAGAGGAGGAATGCTGTTCAAGATTTACAGAAAAAAAACTTCTGTTTAAAAGAAAGAATTGGAACCAATTTAGTGATGTACCTCAAATACCAACAAGTGGCTCCAAATGGGTCAAAAGGATGTTGTGAGTGTAAGAAGCAGCTGACTGATCTAAAAGTAAAAGAACTGACTTACTTCATCAGCAGTGAAAAGAAGATCATTTAAAACCTTTGAAAGGCCAGTTTCAGTGCTGTGCCACAATTTAAAACCAGACTGAAATTTTTCACCATTGTCATTCAGGTTAAGATAAGTTTGCAGTCGGACATAAGCAACTTTCTCCAAAATTGTGGATAACATTAGTGCTAATTGGTTAGGAGGAACAAATTCCTCTTAGAGACAATAAAGTCTAAAAGTCTAAATGTGTTCTGAGGACATGCAGTTTATCTGGATGGGTTGTTACAAACAGAACCATCAATACAGAACAGACTGCAAGAAAAAAAAAGATCCAAACAAAATCAGAACAGAACTAAAACCCATCTAGTCATGGTGTTTTGTTGGTTATTTTATTCTTTCAGATTATTGTGAAGTGCCAACTAACTTTTGGTCAGCTGTCCAGGACCAACATGGCTGATTCATCAGAAACCAGAATCAACAATGTGGGGTTTGTGGGGTAACAACAAATCTGTTGTACTGTGCAGAACCTCAACAACCGGAGACCTGCTGAATCAGATTAAGTTGTTTAAGCTCCTCTGCAGCTTTGACAGGACCGACGGCTGTCATGCTGGGGGAGATGTCACACAGTGAGGAAGATGAGACTGAATCTCAAATAATCTAAGTTACATCCTCATAGATGGCTGCTTTTAGACTGGTTTTCCAGAAGAAACACCATAGAGAAAGTTACTAATGTCATCCATCAGTAGTCATGATGGCTAACAAAGTTGAAAATCAACAAATTTATCTTTGAATTAAGGTTCCATGGTCTTAGCTGTGTGGAAGTTAATATGTAGAGTTAGTGTGTGTGGGTTCCACTCAGAACCCACTAGGTTCAGTTGGAGGTGTGTGTGTGAGTTCATATGTGTCTGAACCCTTGTCACTCAACTAATCTCTCTCTCCATCAGCCTTACTCCTCCTTTTATCTTTGTCTTCTCTCCATTTTCTCCACATCGTCACTTTGAGCCTCAGCAGCCAATCACCAAGTTCCCTGTCACATGTTACCGTAGTAACAGAGTGCTCTCTTGTTGTGTTGCTGTGTGCCATGCCAGGTGTGTCGGAGTGATTTGACAAATCAACATAAACACAGCCCCAGCTTCCATCAATGTGTTGTCATTAAGCTATGCAGGAAGTGTGAAACTTATATATAAATATATGTATATAATTTATATATATGTAAAATACTATGTTGTTTTTGCGTGTGTGTGTGTGTGTGTACATCTCACCTTGACTGTAAGTGTTCCAGTTGGACCTGCAGATTCTCAGTCTGCTCCACCTGCTCATCCAGAGACCTCTGCAGCTTCCTTGTCTGATTATGAGATTCATCCAGCTGGACACACACATGTGCGCACACGCTCACGGTGAGTTGTGATCGTTTTCAGTATGTTCATCACATAGAAGAAAAGGTTGCGACATGCCTACTTTTATCAGCAATAAATCAATTAATCGCATGATAAATTAAAACAAGCTCCATAATTTGCTTTGGTCTCATCTTTTTTGAAGGACAGTTTTGTTTACAGAGACATCATAATTTGTTTTATTTGTGATTTTGTTTATTTTGAATATTTACATTGTCTTCCTGTTCCAGTGTTAAGTGTTCTCTACAATTTACAGTTTGTTAACCTCTGAGGATGTGTTCTTGCATTATTTTACTTGAAAATGGTATCAAAACAACAATATTATCATTTATTGCAATGAGAATTCATTGTTCAGTAAAACCTGAACTCCTTATTGCAACAGGCCTACGTCCAAATGAGCCTGAATGAGACCTGCTGAGGCAGCAGCCAGAGGAGCGGATACTAAATATTGACTGGAAGGGGTGAATATTTATGTAACTTACATAAGTATTTTATGGTACATATTGCTTTAATTGTCATTGCCATGTGGAAATACGTTATCACTTATCCAAAATATTTTTCCAAAAAAGCCATTATGCCATTAAAAATAATAAACACAATATTAATCTGAATTACACAATAATAAACACAATGGACATTAATAGCAATGACAAAGTGGAATAGCAGGTTAAAACATACCAAGCTATTTGTGCTGCTGTTGCATCAGTTTTGAAAAAGTTATTTAAAGCAACAGATATTCTACTCACTTAATACACAAAGTCTAGGAAATGTTACAAATGTTTGACACATTTGTCAAACATTTGTATTTATATGAAACATTTATATGAATATCTTTTATATATTCATATAAAAGATGAACATAAATGTGTTTGTACCTCGTCTTCAGCCTGGCCCAGTTCTTTCTTCAGCTCCTCCACCCTCAGACGGAGCTTTTTGACCTCGGCGTCGTGGCTCTCCACCCTCCGGTTGGCGTGGGCCAGCTCCGCAGTGCGCTCCTGGAACTGCTTCTTGAGCTTTGCATGAACATGACGAAGATCGGCCAATTCCTGCAAATGCAGCACACAGCAATGAGATTATGACACCTCTGATTATTTGCTCAACCATCTGAGGCCTGAAGAACACACGCAACTTCTTTCATAGGTTCAAGGCTAAGTTACAGAAAAAAATAGGGGATTGAACTTGACCACTTCCATTGTCTCCACTGTAATGAAATAATTAAATACCAAGTTTTAACATTTGTTTGAAGCTAAATGTAGTACTTGTTTTTTTTTTTAGCTTTTTTTTAGGCTAAATGTTAAAATTTGTATTTTGACACGCAAAACTGTCCTGAAATCTAAAAAAAAATCTAAGAAAAAAACAAAACAAGAGTTACACCTTAATTTCTAAATTTGTATATGAAAGAAGTATTACAATATGAAAACCTTTATCTTGAAATTTTATGATTTCTAGGAAGCAGAACCCATGTAATCCCAGCCACTTTGTAACAATAATGTTTGACTTTTGTGGACATTAATAGCAATGACAAAGTGGAATAAAACTGTCAAAAAATCTGAGCATAAGGCAAAATTATTAAAATGCAACATTGTTCTATCCTTTCAAGCTTGCAAAAACAGCCCACAGGGTTATTTTGAAATATCCATCAGAAATACATTCAGCAGAATAATAAAACCACATCCAGGAAATCACCAGAAGGTGTGTGTGTAGATGGTTCTTCTGTTTCTCTTGAAACAAGAAGGATTTCTCATTTTCGGCTCGCCTGCAGTCGAACTCTGCTCGTGAGAATAAAATCCAATGAAAATCAAACTTTTCCTTTCAGTCTGTTTACAGTATAGAGATACAGTTGGAGCTTCGTCCTTGACATTTCCCTGAAGAGCAACAAACATCATCCAGCTTCTGCTGCCAACAGACACATTAATGGGTTAGAGGAAGTATTAGAATGCATACATTTGGTCTTTCAGGATGGAACTGTGGGAAGTTGTGGTCATGGTTGGGTTGAAGACACACCCACCTATAGATCTGCACTGATATTGACAATGGAAAATCTGTGTTTTAAGATAATGGAGTCGTTAATTATGCAGTATCTTCAGCTGCACTTTTATGCTTAATGTTGTTGATTTATTTTAGCACTTCACTGCCACGCACCTAATGGTTCCCCCTACAGAGCTTCCAAGAAGCTTCTGTCAACTTGCTCTGCATCAGTGGGAACCAGAAGACAGATGAGAGCTGCAGCGTCAGCCAAACTAACGGGCATTACCAGTGAAAAGGGAGAAAATTCCCTGATATTAATCTGAATTTTATTGCACAAGAATAATTTCATGATGAAAATTCCAGAAACATAAAGCATGCATGGTGCAGCTCCTGAGCTGAGGAATTTATGCACAACAGCCCACTAAACACCCTCTAGTCTGGTGCAATGATGAATGAGAGCAACAGCGAATTCCTCCACGTTTTTGCAACAAAGTTGTTCCTTACAGAGATGTTCTGTGAGCTCCGGTCTCACAGCGAGTTCTCCACCTTATCTTGTTCTCCTCCACTCTCAGGTCCACCCTCATAAGTTCAATCGATCTGAATAAACCACTGAATCTGCTGTCAACTCAGTGTGTCATTCAGCCGCACTGGGTACTCCCACTGTATGGGGATCAGAGCTGTCCTTTCAAATCATCATCTTGATTTGCTCTCCAAGATGATGGAGGGCAAATCATCTTGTATTTGTCTTGTAATAATATTGTTTATGTTTTTAATCCAAGTCAACTCACCACTGTACCACATGCACATCCGAACATAAAGAAAGGTTTGATATTAAGATGAAAGATCTTGGTCGAGGAATGATGAGCAGAAGAACTGAGGAAAGGTAAGAAAATCCACAGAAAAGAATGAACTGACATGGTAAGACCCTAATAACAACAACAATAATAATAATGATAATAATAATAATTGCATCCCTACAATAACGTAAAATCAAACAGCCACAGATCCTGAAAGTTATTTTTTGCCTGAAATGTTGCAAGTATAGCAAGAAAGTGTCTAGGTTGGCAGCAGTGGGTGGCTATTAACTGTAAACGTGCAAGCATGACCTGTTGGTGTCAGTCTGTCAGTCAAAACTGCTCTTACAGCAGAGCAGAAGAGGACAACGGTTGATTTTTAAATCTTTGTTGAGGTAGATAAGATAGGTTTCATATGTACGTGTCAGTCAAATATCTTCTTTTTTTTTTTTTTTTTACAAGGAAATACATGAAGTTTCAGTAGCGGGAGTTGAATGACATTGGAATCCAGCAGTTTAGGCTTTGTAGCCGTATTGCTGTTTGCCCCTCCAACAGGGAAACATGACAGCTTGTTTTCTAAACCAGGAAATTTAGACGCTGCTGCACAACAATCTGAAGTGAAAGATTCACAACGCAGTTTTTTGGATACATTTGCAAAAATGTGAATAAATTGAAGATACAATAATAACTCAACTAGTATGTATGACCAGTTTGGAAATGGCAATGCTTGTTTCAACAAAGGGCTGGGCAGCACACACCCTGTCTTCCATTTCTTACATATAGGTTATAGTAAAGTAGTGTCACTGGCTCCTTCATTGAGTCAGAAAAAGAACAGCAACAAATCAAATCCAGTTACCTACCCAGGTCATTTTAACTTTAAGTCAGTGAACGTATGACAACCTGGACCTGTAATTCCCCTGAGCCACCACTGGAGGGAGTGGCAATGCTGAAGCCTACTTGTTTGTTTTGGGCATTGAGTCTGTGCACAGCGAGCCAGACCATTGTCTTCTAGCAAATACCAAGCAAAGCAGCAGAAAACTAATCATGAATTTACTAATTTAAGTTTTTTACTCTACTAATGTAAATTCTGTGGAAACAATTTTTGATCGCTTACAGATTTGTGGTACCTACCTTGTTTCTCTCAAACAACTCACTCTGGATGGCCTTCAAGTCTGTGTCAAGTGCCGAGGCAGCCTGCCGACGTTTCTTGGCCAGCTGCTCCTCCAGGTCTTCCACCTGAGCCCGCAGCTTTTTGTTGTCCCTCTCCAGAGCCAGTTTCTCCGTCTCCAAGCGCTCCCTGCGGCCCCACTCTGCAGCGTTCTCCACCTGCAGTCTCTCCATCTGATGAAGACATACATCCAGTGTTGCATAGACACCCAGAACATGGCAGATGCTCAGCTGAAAAACGCAGAACAAATGATAGAAATGCAGGGGACTAAAGCTGAAGCTGGATGTGGAAGTCAGACACTGGTTTGAGTGAAACACTGGAGACTTCTGTTCTGACACCTAAGCAGTCAGCCTTTCTGGGTTCAGTCTGGACTTTGGTGAAACATTATTTTCAAACTAACAACAAACAAACAAAGTTGGCTGACTGATAACTGTCAGCTGAACAGTATGGCTATGCCTGTCGTAATAAACAATAAATCAATCACACAATAAAATAAAATGAAGGTGAAAATATTGCTTGTTTGTTTTCATCGCACTTCCTACAGAAGAGATTGAATGTCAAAAAGTTTAATTCAGGTGCCGAGTCACTGACAGTCCATTTTCATTGAAGTATTTAAATATAAAAGGCCAATGCAAAATCATGCGTACTAAGAGTTTGTTTAATCGCAAAAGAAATGATGCCCATTACATCTAATTGAAAAGCCAGCACTTTGAAAAATGATGCAAACATTTGTGTATTATTGTAAACAGCAGTAAGTTCATACTTTTTTCCCCACAAAAGTCATAACTGGCAGTAAATATATTTTGAAGGGCAAATTTGTTTACAGAGACTTCAAAATCTATTTCATTTATTTATGGTTTATGTATTTGGTATATTTAAAATGTCTTCCAGTTACGGTATTAAATGTTCTTTAGAAATTAGCTTAATTATTTTTGAAAGGGCGTATTTGCATTTTTATGCCATTTTATGCTGTTAGTTTTGGTCTCAAAATTAGAATATTATTATTGTCATATTAATTTCTGGAAGAATTAATCACCCAGCAAAATTTGTTATCACGACAGGTGTAAGTGGGACTCCCTGGATTGATTGTAAAGCTGTCATAACAACCACATCATTTTCAACTGAAAGACCAGCTGATGAGCTGATCGTCAGCTGGGAGCAGCGTTTTGCTCCCAGCACGGCCTGGGAGCATTACAGGTTTTTGCTGCTTCTAGAACTTGATGGGTTTTTTGATGTGCAAGAGCCTACATATAAGAACAGAAATATGTGATGCCTCTGGCAGATACAGATTTAAACTAATCCTTCAGTTTTACCGACATTTTTCCTTTGGCTGCAAGTGCTGTTAACATTTTGAAGCAGCAGTTAGTGGAAAGGTTTGATTGCTATAATAAATATTTTTCTACCAATTATTGAGAATGGTGTAAAGCCTTGTAAAAATCTTTTACTAAACTTTAAATAAAAATAATTATTTTTGTTTTTCAAAATTTATATTTCTTTTGCATTGTTTTATCTTAGTGATAAAATGATCTGTTGCCCTTCCTATGAAAAGAAAGTTAACTGTAATACAGCAATCCTTGATGGTCATTGTGTATTTTTCATCATGATGAAACACCTGTCACCAGTTGATATCAATAAAGTGGAATCCATGGGCCCATGGTCAAGAAATTTCCTAACCCACACAAGCACCTGTCCTTGTGGTCCTGCTACCTCACCTCAGCTCGAAGCTCAGCCAGTTTCTTATCCATATTGGTCCGAGCTCCCAGTTCATCTTCCAAGTCTTCAGAGATGCGGCCTAGTTCATCTTGATGCATTTCCTTTAGCAGATTCAGCTAAATGATGTCGAAAGAAACAAGAATAATATGTATAAAAAAACATGGATCTTTCAGGAGATGCATTTCATTTTTAGAATGTTGGAAAAGAGAAGCTATTACACAAAGCACAATTCTTTCCAATGTTAAATGTGTCCTTGTAAAACCAATTCCAAGGTTTTCACTCGACTTCTTACCAGTGTTGGTGTGTGTTACCTCTGGTTCATGTTCTGTGCTCTACTCTTGCTAGGCACAGTAGACACACAGGAGAGGATAGCCATCACATTATCCTCTCCAAGCCTTGCCTTTCTCCTCTCCTGCTCAGGTCTGAGAGAAGCCATCTTGAAGAACTGATTAGTGCACCAGTCTTCACAGGTTTGCTTAATAAAATTAATAATTCAGCTGCAGTTGACCCAGAACGCTGCAGCTGATGTTCTCACTAAAACCAGGATGATAGAACACATTACCTGGTTCTACAGACCTTCCACTTGCACCCTGTAGCTCAGAGAATAGATTTTAGAATAGTTTGGTATCTCGCCTAAGAACAGAAACCTCTAGGTTTTTATAACCTGGTCTGCTCTGCATCCCCAGAACCAGAATCAAACATGGAAAAGCAGCATTCAATTTCTATGCACCACAAATCTGGAAAAAATGTTCAGAAAATTGTAAAACAGCTGAAACACTGACTTCCTTTAAATCAAAACTAAAACTCACCTGTTCAGGATTGTTTTTGAACAACAAATAAAACACTAACCAACATTTTGATGTGTAATGATGGCACTTGGCAAAACAGTGTTTCAATTGTTAATGTTTTGTGTTTCTTATGACGTAAAGCGCTTTGAACTGCCTTGTTGCTGAAATGTGCTATACAAATGAATTTGAATGACTGATTGATCAATCTTTGAAGCTGCTACTTGAATCTTATCTACTTATTTTTAACTCCGTACCTTTTTATTTGTAAATTATGAATGTTTATTTGACCTCCTTTTTCTATGTCTACAGCGCCTCCGAGAGATTTCTTTAATTATATTTCCTCGTGCAAGTAACAATGTAAATGACAACTTGTCTCCACATCACACCTAACCCTGCCACATTCCCTTTCTGCTCCAACTCCCTGCCACCCTTTCCCAGATGTTTGCAGCTGGATCTGTCCAGGCAGAGTGAAGGCTCCACACAATAAATGTCTTTAGCCAATCATTGAACAGGTTGTGAAAAAACAACAAAAACCCTGATGGGACATCACAGTATCACTAAATTGAATCTTTGCTAACAATATGTTAACCATTTTAGCAAAATTCTGTTTTAATTATTCAACTGTATTTTAAAGTCTATTCTTTGAGCTATAGGGAGCAGGTGGAAGGACTTTAGAACTGGATGATGTGCTCCATCTCCTTGATTTTAGTCAGAGCTGATCCAGAACGCTGCTGGTGGATTTTTTAGGCAGACCTGTGAAGACAATGTTAAAGTAATTGATGTGGCTAAAAATATATGCATTGATAAGTTTTTCTGGATCTTGCTCCTCCAGTCCTGGAAATGTTCTTTATGTGAAGACTTTGTTGGCCTTCTATCACTTTATGTGAGTCTGAAGGTTCAGGTCAGAGTCCATCACATCTTGCAGGTTTCGGGCCTGACTGCTAGTTTATGGTCGTGATAACTGAAGCTGTGCGTTGACTCTAGATTGTTATTCTTTAGGCTCAAAGATAATGACTTCAGTTTTGCTTCTGTTCAGTTGGAGAATGAACAGAAGCATTCTCCAACTGAAGAGAGAACTAAGAACTCTCTTCGTTTAGAACTAATTTGTTCTAAGCACCATTTCAGTGCTTCGATGGGTTCAGAGTCACCTGGTCACTTCATGATGTAGAGCTGTGTATGGACTGCGTAGTTATGGTAGCTAATCTGGTTTCCTGTAATAACCTGAGCTAGTTATTACAGTCGTTTCAGTAATATGTCAATATTATGATCAATAATATGATCAACAGTGTCAAATGCTGCACTGAAGTCCAACAGAACCATCACTGTGGTTCTTCCACAGTCTGTATTTATGTGGATGTCAGGACCACTTTGCTGAGGGAAGTCTCAGTGCTTTTGTGAGCCCACCAGGCTTATAAAACACTTGAAGAAACTCTGCAGCACTTCCATCTGGTTTCAGATTGATTTGCAGTTTCACATACACTGACCAGAGGAGCAGATTTGGGTGATTTGACAAACTTTTCTTTATTTTTTTGTGATAACAATAAAATATTCGTTCTGACTGAAATGTAAATCATCCTGTTACAAAGTTAAGAATTGCAATTTAAAGGAATCGCTGCAAATGATACAAAAGATTAACTAGTCTGACTGTCATCAGACGACTAGATCCAGTCCATGAACCAGAGCCTCTGCTGGCAGTCTCACCTGTTTGAGTGCTTCCTGTTTGCTTTTACTAAGGTCCTCGTATTTCAGTTTCCAATGGCTGAGTTCAGTCTCCAGTCTCTCGATGCTCTTACTCAGGGCCAGCTTGTCTCTGGGGAAAACAGAAACAAACATTAGCAACATAACATCAAGGGTTATTGGCTGAATAAAATGGCAACTGCTGTCTTTAAAATTTGTTCTCATAATCTGTTTTTCCACATAAAAGAGTCAAAATATTGCATTCTCCACTAGCCAGATTTTGCAATATTCAGACAAATGCTTATTTGAAACTACCTTTTTAATGGTTTTGTTTGACAAAGTTTCAGAAACTAAAAACAAATCAATAAATAGGTGTACACCCTATTGTACAATACTGTACTTTCCTTCTTCCTTTACTACAGTCATACAATAAATTAGAAAATACATAATGAAGAGTACTATTTGTGAAATTAAAAAGTACCTTTTAAAAATAACAACTTTTAAGTTTAGGCAGGTATTAAACATAATTTCAATTAAGTCCAGATTTCTGATTTTAAAAGGAGTTTTTTTATTGGTATGATATAATATTCAAATTTTTAAATGGCTTTTAGCAGAACATCATGATTAAGAGAAATAAAGGTGTTAAAACATCAGTCTAATTAATCCATCTAAACTATATTAAGAGATGAGTTATTGAAATAAATTTACTTTTCAGTAATATGATTATTTATTGAATGAGTCTTGTATTTTGTGTCATTTTTAGTATTCAATGAAAAAGACAATCATTCTAAATCACAGTTTTAGTCAGTATGACAGTTAAGCTTTTGTATCATTTTCACTTATAATAATAAGAAACTTAAGATGAATTCTATAAGTAACTGGAAAACTGCTGTTTTCCTTCAGACATTCACATTTTCCATTTGTCACCACAAAACTTAAGATAATCACCATAATAAAAATGAAGAAAACAACAGCAGTTAGCTCCCCATTATGTCAGAGATATCAAATTAACTTATAACCTGCGATCCAGTGACCTACAGTGACCCATTCCCCAGTAAGGCTTGCTCCTTCTTACTCTCTCTCTTTCAGCAAGACTTTCTGCGACTCGTCGAGTCTGAGCTGCAAGGCGTTGAGTTTGCTGGTATCTTCTTCCACTGAGCTCATGTCCTCCCACAGTTGCTTGCTCCGTTCCTGCCGGCTCAGACATGATGATGAGCGGGAGCCGGCTGAGCTGACACCCCGACTGCTCCAGCTGTCCTGAGCGTCAGAACTTGGTGCTCCACAATGCAAGACTGACTCCAGCAGCTCCAAATCCTTACAGAGAAGGAGAGAAATTCACTCCAGGAAATAAAGTCACATATTATGTTAAATAACAGAACTCATGAGGAAAAAGCAACTCAACTCAGCGCTCTTCAAAAACAGATTTGTAAAATGCCACATTAGAACAGATGCTGGTTCTATCAGATAAAGGTGATCCAATAAGTTAAGATGGATGTTCTTGTTAGTTGAAAAATGTGGTCAAGTTTGGCCTTCTTCTTTACCTAGTAGAGGCTCATCCAAGCTTGGTAAAGTATGATGGACTGAATAGAGAGTGACAGTAACAGTCACAGCATTAATACAAATATTAGGTCAAAGTCCATAGGAAGAAAAGTGAAACATCATGGGGTCTTAGCTTAGACCTCACTCTGACTATTTCTGCATCTCCACACCATGTCTATTTCCCAGGTAACCAGCTGGTGGCTACAGCAACACACACATTGCTATCTTCTCAACTGCCAGAAAAGATGGCAGTTGATTTTAGACATTTCCATGTTATGGACCATACTATCAGAAACACAGCAAACCAGGAGGAAGAAAGGCTTTAAAAATCATTATAATGAGACAAATTTAAAATGAGAATGGCCAAAACAATGGCTACAAAGATAAATGTTTGGAAACCTCAAAAGAAGCAGGAAGAATTTAGTTTTCAAAGCAAACTCAGCCCAATTCATATTTTAGTTATTTGTCAGATGGTTGTGGTGATTTCTTGGATTTTGTTGGAATTAAACAAACTGCTATGAATAGATTAGACCAATCTGAGCTATAGAAATCTGAATTGAACCAATTTTTTCCTCTTTAAAATGCATTATGACTATTTTTTTAAATTGGAGGTGCATAGATAAACTGAACAGAAATGAATTGACTGGTCACATTGAGACTAGTAGTCCTCCACAGAGTTGATTTGCGTTCCAGTACAGACCTTGGAGTCTATGCTTCACCTCCTCCCCCAAATCTCTTTTTGCCTTTTTTTCAGGTAAACAATTCTGGAATCAATATTATGTCTGCATAAATTATAAAGGCAATCTTCCCACCCCTCTGCTAAGTTCACTTCTACATTATCACATTAGCTTAGCTACACACACTTAAACAGAAACTTGTTCTACATTGCAGGCACCAGAGGGCCCTAATGTAAGCAAAACTGTGTTGAACCACATGTGGAAGCACTCTGAGGGAACAATGAAGGGGGGCAGGAAATGAAGTTGAACTGTGTCTGAGCAGTCACACACATAGACACATGCAAATACCCACACCCACCCCTCCACCCCAAACACACAATCACAGTGGACTGAAAAACCCACATGCGAACTCATCTTTTCACTGCTGCAACAATCTGATGGTCAGCATGCACAGCCAAGTTAAAGTCAGTGATTTAAACTCAGAAACTTTTAAAATGAAGAAGAATATGACATTGCTCTTAGTGTATGTATGTGAGGACACAATAAAGCTTATTTTGCACTGACTTCCGTTCATTGTTCATTCATTTCTATGGTCCAGCCCTAAACCCAACTTTTACTAATACATGAATAACCTTGACCGAAACTCAATTAACACTGGTGCTGAATGGATTGCAGTTTTCTGGCCGATTACTGATAACCAATCTTTAAAAAGCCTGTCCTGCCGATTCTCTTTTTGACCGATACCAATTTTTTTGATCTCAAATGTTGCTAAATATAGCAAGAAAGTTGCAGAGTTGGCAACAGTGGACTAACTATGAACGATATGATCTGGTGGGCTGGTCTTTGTCACAGGAAAGTAGAGGACGGTAGTTGATTTTTAGACCTTCGCTGAGGTAGATAGATTACAATACGTTCTAACTCTACGCTGAAGTCCAGCAGCTGAAGTGAGTGTCTTCTGTCGTGGTACTGGGCTCCACCTTGGAGAACAGTTAAGAAGCTCTTTTATCCAAGGAAGCTGCTGCGAGTCCACATCAAAAATAATCAGCTTAGATACTTTAGATACCTGTTCAAATGTTTCTCCAGATGCCTCTTTTTGGCAGCTTTCCCAGGGGACCTCAAAGGAGATCTCGTGGTAAACCCAGAACTCACAGAATGTACTGCAAATCACCTTGGACTCTCGTTTTCCCTTCAAGATTTGTTAAATCCACTTATTTATTAAATCCACTTATTTTAACCAAGTTCAAATGAGCAGAGAGGGTATGGTATGTATGTATGTATGTATGTATGTGTGTGTGTGTGTGTGTGTGTGCGTGCGTGCGTGCGTGCGTGCGTGCGTGCGTGCGTGCGTGCGTATGTATGTATGTATGTATGTATGTATGTATGTATGTATGTATGTATGTATGGATGGATGGATGGATGGATGTATGGATGTATGTATGGATGCATGTAAGTATGTATGTATGCATACATGCCACAGAGGCAGATTAAAGGTTTGCAGAGGAGTGCAGATTCATCTCAATTCATTAATTTATTCACTAATTCAATTCAGAGACGAAAACCTCTGTTTAACATAGATTCATTGCACATGTTCAGATATTTGATTTTTGATTGATTTCATACATCCATGTATGGATATATGGATGGTCCGATTCTGTTTACCATACCACATCATGTTTATTTACACTGCACTTTAAAAAACAATAAATGGTTGACCAAAGTGTTGCACAACAGGTAAAATACAAGACAGTTGATTTTGTTAGTGTACACAGAGACAACGGTAGAACCTTCAACTAGATACCGAAATAAAATCAGTCTGCGCCCTCTGCTGGTGAGCTAACTGAAGCTAGGAGTATTGACACACAACGTCATTCAAAAAGTCTTACAGGAAAATAAACAAAAAATAAGAAATATATTAAACTAATATGATAACATTATATTAGTTGGTAGGACTGGGATCAAGACCTCTCACCTTCTGCTGGCCCATCTTCTCTCTGTCCAAGTCCACATCCCTCACCGGTTCTGCTTCAGGAGACCCTGGTGCTCCCTCCTCAAACTTGCAGTCTGTTATGACCTTAGAGGATGAGAGAGACGGTGCCGGGGAGGAGGGAGTAGCAGATGAAGAAGAGGAGGAGGAAGCACTGTGATGGAGAGGTGACAAAGGTAAGGAAGATGTGCCGGTAGTCAGATTAGCAGTGGGGTCGCCACGGAGATGCAGTGTCTCTTGTCGCAGCGCCTCATTTTCGGTGGCAAGCTCCTGCCGCTCCCGCCGGACGCCGGTCAGCTCCTTGGTGAGGGTATCCAGCCGCTGCCTCAGCTGCCGGATCTCATCCCGAGCTCTGTTCCGTTCTGCACGGACCTGACAAACAGGAACACCACCACTAAACTAACGGCTTTCTGGATAATCATATCTGCAGTAGGTTCAATAATCTCTCCCCACCTTACTCCACTTCTCTCTCCAGTTGGCTGTGCAGTCGGACCACCACCTCATGGTCTTTTCCATCTGGGCTGCCCTGGCCCGAGCTTCCTCCAGCTCCCGGAGCCTCAACTCCTCCCTGGTCTCCCAGTCACCTCCAGCTCCTTCACCCAGAGGACCTAGACCCAGACCTCCAAGTCCAGGCGACAGCAACAGAGGGGGGCTGGAGCTGGGAGTTCCCCCAGTAGGGCTGGGCGTGTGGGCCAGGCTGTCTGGGGAACGGATCCCACGGTCCGACCCCAGACCTATGCTGCAGAGAAGGCCGCCTCCGGCTGACTTCCCGCCTTCAGACAAGTGTGGGCTGGGGCTATGGTTCATTATGGCAAAGTGAACAACCAGGATAAACAGAGTGAAGAAATGGGGTGGAGATTCAGGAGAGCATATCTGATCTGTAAAAACCTGGAGACACAGAAACAGGATACATAATACCTAGCCATAAAAAAAAAGCTTTTCGATAACAGTAACTTGTTTTTCTGTCATTAGCACATTTAGCAGCATAAAATTGCAGCACAAAGAGGATGAATAGAAAAAAACCCAAGATAAAGGTATGTTTACATGTCTCTTGGTACTGCTTCTTTAGCGTCATCGTGTTTGATTATTCTAAATTCACTATGGTATGTTGGGGGTTTTACTGAATTTTCTTCTGGAATTGTGATGTTCGTGACTGGAATCGGTTCTTGTGGTGTGTTGCTCCTGCCTGTAGCTGGACACACAAACCGACCGAACCTGTTGGAGGTTTGATTTTCCAAACCTCTGTGACCACAGAGGTTTGGAAAATCAGCCAACAATCTTCAAATCGTGTGAATCAGAAAAAAGACTCATAAGCTCCACTCCTCTCATCTCATCTCGACCACTGCTCTAAAGCTTTCTGACTCTGGTTGCTATGGTAATGTTTACATATCTCTTCAAAATAAGATACAGATGTGCCACAAAAACGACCATTTTACTTTTGTGAAAATTTTAACTCTCGATAACTAATGTCCGTAACTTACGGGTGCAAAACACCGATTTCTCCACTCAGTGCTTCAGACAAATTATCTGCCAGTGCGGAAAAATTAGTTTTTTTTTTCCTTTTCTGAATTGATTTTAGGTGTTTCTCCCATCTGGAAGTGATGAGAGACAATGACACCCGAAGTGTTGCTTTTGAAGCAGTTTGAAGGTTTCATTGCCTCATTAACGATCCGGTCACCATATCAAGCAGAGCGGTTTGGACTGTGGGAATCACCTATCGGGATAAATCCATTCTCCTGTCTCTTCTCTGGGCCTTTTCCTTTTTGCAAAGAAATTTTCCAAAGACATCTGATCTGTTTCTGACTCATTTTGCTGCTTGTGGCTTAATGTTGGCGCGTAAGACGTAACCGAGAGAATCCAGTTAAAGGATTTCCAAAATATAGATCCCCCGGGCCCAAATGATACATAAAACGGAAATATTTAATTATTTCTTGCGCGGCCCAGTACTAATGGGTCCACGAAGCGGTACCGGTCCACTGCCCGGTGGTTGGGGACCACTGATAACAGGGATTCCCACCAACTCCTCCTTCCTTGCTATGAATAAAAATTAAAAATTCTGGTATTCAGATTTTTTACCAGCATTTCTTTTGTCCATTTATAAGCACTGGAAGGCTGGTTCACTCAGGGTGCCAAACAGGCCAGGACCGTCTCTGCCTTCAATCATTAATTGGCTCAGAGGTGGAAGAAGTTTATCGTGTCACAAGAGTCACTCGGTTTATGGCTCTTTACAAGTAGCAGAAAAGCAAAGCAATGCTTTTCTATAGAATCAGTCCTCTGCAGGAACAAGCACCAGACACACTATGCATTGCAAATCATTGTAAGAGTAAGTGACTGCTAGTATACTAAAACCTTTCACATAAAATTATGTTGTGCTTAATCCCAGTATTTCAGATACCGCGATTAAAGCTTTCAGTAGACATCAAATAACATTAAAATGAGTGATGGTGAAATCATTTCTATTGCAACGCCAATTATTCAAGCATCACTGGCTCCAAACTTCTATAACAAACATTTTTTCTTTGTTAGTCACAGACTTCTTGAACCTGAGCCAGAGGGAAGTCTTCAACATTTTAAACAGAGGCTGGATTTTAAGATTCTTGATTAAGCCAGACGAAGAAAAATAGCATAAGGTTTCACAAAAATAAGCTACACTAATTAAAGAGCAAACATAATCTTTATGAAAATATATATTTTTATAAGTGGGAATATAAAATCTACAGACATGCATGTCTCCAAGTTCCCAAAAGAGTCACCTGCAGAGAAAATCAAGTCTGCTGCCTTGCAGAGTTCATATCCATTCCACATTTTAACAGTTTCTTACATTTAACCACAAACTTCAACTGGATTTTGGTCTAACCATTTGTGACCATCCAGGACTATTGAATAGATAACTATTTTTCTCAAATTAAAATCTGAAAAAACTCTCATGCATGTAAAGCCATAAATCACTTTCAAATTAAATTAGGAATTACCAATCATCAGCACTCCATTTGAATGGCTAGGAAAGGACACTGTTGGCCCTCTACAAAGAAAGTAAATCAGGCAATCATTATATGCGTGTGAAACTGGATTGGGCTACAAAATATCCAGAGGTCTTTCATTTGAAATCAATAAAAGCCAAAGCAGTTGCCTTCTGTCTCATACTGCTCTTCTCACTGGCTGGGTTTACCTCACTGACTGTTGAACTAACTTTCTGTCTACTTTGTTGAAGTAGGTGTACCAACTTCTCGGGATTAAGTCAACAACATACCTTCCTCAGACAGAACGCTTCAGACCTTGAAACAAATCTTATGCAAATTTGTGAATGAAACTGGTACAGACTGAGATTAGCGGCTATCTCACCTTTTTGTTACACATATAGAAGCAACCCAGGACTCTACCTTTTTTCACCATTTGAATTACTGTATGGCTGAACCTCTTGTCTCCTCTGAGGGAGACATGGTTAGTATTGTCAGTTTGAGTTGACATGCACATAAAAGTTTATGTTTTGAAAATAACTTTTTCACTTCATGAGACAAAAAATAATGATTCTAATTTAAAAAAAAGTTTTTTAAACCATTTCTTTTTGCTTTAGAAAAATAAAAAGTGTTGATCAATATCTTATTTTGTTTTATTTGAGATTAGTTATTTCTTTTTATTGAATAATTGTGAAACAAATGACACTGACCTGCATGCTTAGATGTTCCCCTGCTTCAACACACACCATTCTGAAGATTGCAATTCAACCAAACCCTGTTAATCAGCCATCTGTTGACATCATACGTGCTGAAGCCTAAAACTTGCAGGGCAGTGTGCCTTGAGGCCCAGGATTGACAACCACTGGATTAGACATTGGCATTTCGATCAATAGAAATCGATACAAAATAACATTGTTTCAATGACATCTTTTCAACATTAGTTAACTGGCTAGAATTAAATGATTGTTTGATTGTTGATCCACCATCAATTGTAGTTCTTAACCAAAAATCAAGGTTTTTGATCATAATTCAACATTGAATTACCATAGCTTGCTATCGGGGTCGATTTTAATCTAATGTCTAAATTAAAATCTAAACACTAAATTTTAATCTCAGTGTCTGGGTAAAACTACTTAACAAAAGAACATCTTATCATATGGGCCCCCAGGTATATTTATTCAACAAGATATTCTAGTGTTGTAAATTTTACAGTACATTCCTGAACCGTGACTCAACTGTCTTTATTCCAAGCCAGCACAAATATACGCATACACTATACACACACTCTGCACACAGACTCTCTAGCTAACCACTAGTCAACCTACCAACGCAATCAGGACTTTAGAGTCCAGCCTAAAACAGGGAGACAGTGTTGTTAGGGAGATCAGTATCTCCCTAACTTGCTTTGTTTTTTTTATTTCAATAAAGATAATGCATGTTTTACAGACTGGTAAGCATAAAAAGGCCACTCACAGTACGCATGAAGAGAACATAGAGGTGAACATTTAGACAAAGGAAAGTAATACATTTACAAAAAGCAAACAAAATACCTTTGTTGCAAGTCTCTACACGTGTCCTTTGGTAAAGGTGTTTTAACTTTGTTAAGTCTCTTCTTCGGTGCCACAGTGTACGTTTTTCCCATTTATTCATAAAGATGTTTTCTTTCAGTCTGAAAATTAAGGTAATTCTTGCAGTCACAAATTTTATTATCAGGTGTAGCTGGCAGAAGAGAGTCATGATACAACAGCATTCATAACAAATGAAGGACTATCCAGGTTCTGTGGAGTTCCAAGTGCATTTTTCAAACTCATGTCTCTGGTGATCAAAGGCTTTAAAGTGGTTCAGAACTACCCAGAAGATGATTATAGGTGGCTCTGAAGGAAGTGGGCCTCCAGGTCAGTACAGAAAAGTGTTATTTTAACCAGGAAAGTCTGCAGTTCCTGGGATACATGTTGTCAGCCTAGGGTCTTCTATTGAATGAGGACCATCTAGGAGCAATTACTGAAACCCCAGCACCTAATAACATCTCTACTTTGCACTCAGTCCTTGGGCTCAAAGCATGGTGCTCAAAGTTTGTGCAAAATTATGCATCACAGGTAGAGCCCATGTGTGTTTGCATACATAATTACGTATTCAAGTGGACTGAGGCTACTAAACAAGTCAAGCTTCAACACAATTAAGGAATGCACCGTGAACAGCCCAGCACTGTCCACCTTTGACCCAGGGCTCCCAACCATTGGATCAACAAATGCTTCAAAATATTGTTTAAGGGCCAAACTCACAGTTTATCACGGTTTGAATTCATGTTTAACAGAAGGATGATCACAAAAGTGAATATTGGCCCAGCTAGTAAAGTCAGACTCCTGCCAACTGCGTGATCATATTGCCTCCAGACAGAAAGCAACGAAAACTTGCACAGAGCTGAAGCAAGGTGCAAAAGTACCCCAGATCAAAAAAGGAATTCTAATTCGAGTGAGAAAGCCCTTTCATTTTAAAAAGACTGTCAAAATTCCATGCACCTATCAGAGTAATGGAGAAGGTGCAAGCTCCTATGTGCTGGAGGATGGCCGCACTCTCTTATCCCAGAAGCTGCAATAGACATCATGACAAGTCCTGCTGCTCCAGATAACGGAGTCAGGGCCTTCACAAAACTCAAACGACAAAACAAGACCAGCTGGGGTCAAGAAGAGGCCTGCTTGGCTTAGAAATCATGAGCATTACTCAAACCAATTGGCATTTGGGGAAGAAGGAAAAACCATTACAAGCAATGTCAAAAAAAAATTAAATGCTTGAAGAATGCAGAGTGACTAAAATGCACTGAGTGTTCATATTTGAAGTTATTTTGCAAATATACACCGAGTAAGTGGGAATGTTTGATACCAGCTCTTAGAAATGTTTAGTCAAGTTCAGGTTAAAAGTCAGACACAGTTATAAAAGATACATTTTATACAATGGTAAAAGAGCAGTTTACACTGCTTAATGAAGAGAAGCAGCTGTTTAAATATGTATTACATTTTGGACAGAATATTTTTTGAATTTAGAAAATTCATGCTCTGTTCCAACTGGTAAGTTTACTAAACAAGAGGGGAAATGTGTTGTGTATTCAGTCACTATACTTCAACACTAGATGTCATCATAACCACTATCCTGACTGAGAAGAAGACCAGCAAAAGGGTTGAATAGAGTTCATATCGGAGTTTTGCTCTCTCTTTTTTGCCTTCTTTCTTTCTTTCTTTTCTTCTACGTGTCTATTTATTACGTGCACACTACAAACTGTAATCAAAATAAGTTTGGGTTTCCATTAATTCAATCCAAGATGCTCCAGTTCAGTCTTTTAGATGAAGCGCCCATGAAACGTGGCTAAAACACCAAACACAAGGATCATCTATAATTATCATCACACTGGTGTGATAATACCCTGACAGCAATGTTAGTTCTGAACTGCTAGGGTTAAAGTGTATCTATTTGTGTTGAAGTTATCAAAACAGAAGAGGGCCTAAAACATGACTCTACCCATTGCAGATGCAGCTCCACTGCTGGGCTGCCACATCTGGAATACAGATCACCAAAAGCCACCAGAAGCAGGCTTTGGTATGACAAAGCTTTTCTCAGTGGGTCAGTGTGTGAGCGTGTAGGTAAGGTTTGGGAATGTTGGAAGTAATTTTCAACCACTTCTAAACAACCACACATAATGACAAACAGAATGGCCAAAATTTAGGCAGAGATTCCGGTTAACATTCTTGATATGTGTAGGTCATTCCTAACTGTGGTCTACGCATTAAGGCACACTACCAAAAGGGAAAAAAAACTAAACTAATCCAATGACAACTATACAAATACACCCATACATAAATAGCACAAACATCAAATCACACAAACTGTGGAAATGATTTTAAAAAAGCTCATAGTAAGCAGGAGCTTTTAAAAAGCTTCCAAAAGTGGAAGCTTTTGGACTAAAAACATTTCTTTGTAGCCTCCAACTAAAACTCTGCTGCTGGCCATAATTACCAGGTCCTAAACAAATGCAGCTAAATGCAGACACACACACCATCTACCCATCTGGATGGAAAGTCTTGTTAAAAAAAGACTTTCCATTCAGTCTTATGTGCTCAAGTATACCTTGGTAATTGCCTATCGTTTATTTACTTAACTTTGATTTAACCAGATACTCATCATCATCAAAACTTTTTTTTCCTATATAAGCCAGACTTTCATTGTTTTTTTCCCCTAATCAATAATATATTTAGGAGTTTTTAAAAAATCAGATGTCAGCTTTTATTTTTAGACATCAGTTAGATTTAGTTCTCAACTCTCTGAACTCCAGAGAAGGTATTTTCTTCATCTAGGGACAATAGTGAATTCAGTGTAGGGTAACGAGCAAAATATTGTGCTACTTTTCAGAGACACCTCCTCCCAGAATCACACAACAGATCAGCAACAGAGCCAACTGTCACTAAAACGTCTCTTCTGAGACGTGGTGATGAAAACAAGGGAGGAAGAGGTTGAATTAAGAAAACATGTAAATGAAAGTTGCAGTCTTAAGGACATGCTGAAAGTAAACAAAGAGAACTGGAATCTGTTAAAGCAACCAGAGAGAGTAAAGAGACACCGTGTGCCTCAAGCAGAGACCCATACTCTTGACCTTCAAAGCCAACATTTCCACACATTTTAAATGCTTCTTGCTCCAAAATATCTGATTCAAATGAAATTATCTCCACATTTCAATCGCCATTTTTTCACAAAAACTAAAGACTGTCAATAGTGATTTGAATGAAATCCAAAAAACCCCAATACAACAGCAATCAGAGCTTGAGTAAAAGTTTCCCGTTTAGTTTGAGCTGCATTTATAAGGAAGCAGTCAGAGACACAAAGACCAGTTCTCCTTGTACTGCCTGACAATGAGAGGGTGGAGCAAAAATATTGAGGATGTTGATATTCCACACAGGAAGACCCTCTGGACAGAAACAGACCACCACATACCAGAACAACCCAGTCAACCCAATTTTCACATGAGGACAAAGCAGTAGCTTTGTCTAAAAACTGCAGTCAGCAAACTTTTGAAATGGCGCAAAAGAAAAAAAAAGGGGGGGAGAAAGCAAATTAGGCAAGTTTCCATCTACTGGTTTACAATAACTCTGAAGAATTTGAATTAATTTGAATTACAACATTTAATTTCCCTTTGGGATCAATAAATATCAGGATTTGAATTGGGAGCAAATCAACCAGGCTACAAAAAGAGTAATTTCATCAGAAATGACATGTGGCTGTAATAAACAACATAGAGAAGTTACAAACTAGCATGCACCACAAAATGGAGAGAGTCCTCCCCTTCAAGCTGGAGGTTCAGAGAATTTTCTCAGAGTTCGGTGCCTCTGGTAAGAGAGGCACCAGTGGATGAGAGCGTTCGCCATGTAAAAACTTACTCATGAAACATGTTTCCATCTCCCACTTTCTGCAATGACTCTTAGTATTAGGAATGCACAATATATACGGTATACAGTAGAAATGATTTAAATTTGCCCTACAATAAAGAGTAAACATTTTGTTTTACCACCTTAAAACAAACCATAGGTGCTTAAATACCACCAATGGTGCTAACTGCAAGTTCCAGCCACAACACTGGGAAGGAAAAGCAGGATTTGACAGACATTCATCACATTAAAGTTTCATCCATCCATGTTTTTATATAGAGATATTTTTTCACTTATTTATTTAACTTTGATTTATCCAGATACTCATTGTTGAGATTATGCTGTTGTCTATCAATTCTAGGTCTCCCTTATAATAAAATTTAAGGGAGACCTCACAATGATAGGAAACAACATACAACACAATTTACAAATATTACCAACAAATAAGATCCACAAAAGAGGGATAAACAAGTTTTAACACATAATGCATGCACTCTAATTAGTATATTTTTTTCTTCCTTTCTATTATAAGCTTTATATAAATAATATTGTGATATACATCTTTACCACCACCCATCATAATATATACTGCTCAAAAAATAAAGGGAACACCCAAACAACACAATATAACTCCACGTAAATCAAACTTCTGTGAAATCAAACTGTCCACTAAGAAAGCAACACTGATTGACAATCAATATCACCGCTGTTGTGCAAATGGAATAGACAACAGGTGGAAATTATTTTCATATTTATTTCATTCATTCAGAACTAGGATGTGTTATTTGAGTGTTCCCTTTATTTTTTTTGAGCAGTGTATATTGTGATATAAATTTTATGTCATATCTCACGTCCCTATACAGTATGTAGCTTAGCTGCTACAGTTTCACTATGCGACATCCACCGAGGAAACATTACAACTTCAGTTAGAAAAATTGCACCTCTGATGACAGAACAATGGCTTCTGACCTTCAGTATGTCTGAGCTCCATACCTGGTAACAGTGAAAGGTGATAGTCTTCATCAAGCCTCTGCAGCCATCCTGCATGGAGCTTTGGAATCACATGAAGCAACATCCCAGAAATGGGTCACTGTCATCTTAATGCAAAACCCTGATGAGAAGCATTCAACCTGTGCTTTAGCAAAGCTTGCAGATTTTCTGACACTGACACACCTTAGTTAGTTGTTATTGTTAATTGACCAATCAGTTCTCAGAATGACTATAAGGTGAAACGATTTCACATTTTAGGAAGTGAGCGGATGTGAAGAAAGAGCCAGCAATGTACAGCATGCTGTCCCAGGCAGAGGGTGAACTGTGGGAACCAGGAACACATGGACTGGATTTCAGCTTCTGTCTCCACAGCCCATTTGTTTCCATGGCAGCCACACACAGAAGTCACCTATCAGGATAGGTGCTCCTGGCAAAAAGATGGAAATCTTTC